TATTAGCTAATATATATACATTAATATATATATAGTAATCCTATTCTTTATATTAGCAGGTGTAGCTAAAATTAATAGTAAAGGTCTTAGTAACTTATTAATTACTTTAAGATACTTAAAATATAATCTTAGCCGCTCTTTAGATTTATATTAACTACTATCTATAAATATATACTATATATATAACTATTGCCTCTTATATCTCTAAAATAGTATAAATATAGATATATCCCTTACTATAGTAAATCCCTACTTAGAAAAAGAGGACCTAGGACCCTATAACCTACATAGATATTGTCTTTATATATACTTTATAGATAGTTAAACTGGATTCTGATTAGTTTAATGCTAAAGTAGATTATTACTAGCGCTAGGTAGGAGCTATTTATCTTACCGAGAATGAGTTTAAAGCGAGTTCCTAGGGCCAGGCTATTCGCGATAATGCTATCTACATAGATACGCCTTTTAATTAACACTTACTTCCACCTTCTCCATACCCTAAGGCCAATAGCACCAGCTTGCTTTAGGCCTGCAAGAGTCAGACTTCTGACAGACGGCCTCTATTTCGCGTGAGTGGCTAGCCGCTGGCTGTCAGATCATATGTTGAACCCCAGCTTTAGGCTTAGCTCGGACATTAACGAATTTAGCCGGATGAAGTTATCCCTGTGCTAGAACTATGAGTCATACCGCAATGGTTAAATGGCCATAAAGAACAACATAACTACAATTATGTATATGCCAAGCGACTAGGTATCATGGGACCAATCAGGCCATGTTTGACATGAGCTATTGAATCACCTCTGCGCCTTAATCTGGCTTAAGCTCAAGCTGATTTATCAGCACTCTCTTCTGCCTTCACCAGGGATTTAAACCTAATTTGGACTGCATGCATATGCAAGGAATCCGCCTAGCAAAGACCGAGGCATTAACTCCAATGATTCGCTACAGCTATTCGTTTAACAAAGACCGAGCTATTAGCTCCAATGGTTCGCCACAACTACAGGCTCCCCAAGCATTGTTACATGTTCAACATGATTTAATATTCCATTCCAGCAGTTTCCACGATCTTTTGTATGCATAGATCGTTAGCCCAATATGCGCGAGAGGAGGCATTCTACACCGCTGACTGTCATGGTATACTTGGACAAAGCCATCTTTCTCCATTCGGATGTAAGTCCCCTTTAACTCCGGTAGCTTATAGTGTAGAGTTGGAGAGACACAAGGCATCGCAGTTAGCTGTATTCAGTAGAAAGCTATAAGTAGAGGGAGAGGTCATGCCTTTTACATGATCTAAGACACTCTCAATTCATCAACCACTCCATCAATCATCCCTATCAACAGCTTTCCTAAGCACCTGTCACTTGACGCATCTTCCTAACCTTTTCCATGGATATGACACTGCCCCCAGAGCCCAAGACCGAACTCGGTCGTTACCGCATCCTGTCCAGCACGGCCGGAGTACGTGTTGCTCCCCTTGCGTTTGGCGCAATGTCCATTGGACAAGCCTGGGGATCAGAGCTGGGCTCTATGAATGAAGAGGACTCATTCAAACTGTTGGACGCATATGTGGACGCTGGTGGAAACTTCATTGATACCGCCAACAATTATCAAAATGAAGAGTCAGAGACATACATTGGCAAATGGATCGCAGCGCGAGGCAACCGTGACCTTTTGTTTCTGGCCACAAAATTCACCAACTGCTACCGTACACATGACCTCGGACAGGGAAAAACTGTCAACTACGGCGGAAACCATAAGAAATCTCTGAAGCTGTCTGTTGCCGACTCGCTTCGAAAGCTTCAGACAGATTATATCGATCTTCTCTATGTGCATTGGTGGGACTGGACCACCTCCATTGAAGAACTGATGGACTCTCTCCATATCCTCGTGGAACAGGGAAAGGTGCTCTACCTAGGTATCTCAGATACACCAGCTTGGGTTGTCTCTGCTGCCAACATCTACGCAAAGATGCACGGCAAGACCCCCTTCTCTGTTTACCAGGGCCGCTGGAATCTCATGGTTCGCGATCTAGAGCGAGATATCATCCCCATGGCTCGTCACTTCGGCATGGCCATTTGTCCTTTTGACGTCCTCGGCGGTGGCCAACTGCAGACTGCGAAGCAGCTTGAGGCACGTACGCGAACGGGCGACAAGGGCCGTGGCAACAATCAAAGTGAAGAGGCTCGCAAGGTTAGCGCAGCCTTGGAAAAGGTAGCAGCTGAGCACAACACCGAGAGTATCCAGCAAATTGCGTTGGCATATGTCAGGCAGAAAACAAGGAATGTGTTTCCCATCGTTGGTGGTCGCAAGGTCGAGCATCTACACGATAACATCAAGGCCTTGAGCATTCACTTGACGGATAAGCAGGTCAGCTATATTGAGAGTATTAAGGACTTTGATGCCGGCTTTCCTTTGAATTTCATTGGCGATGATCCTAAGGAGACAGGTGGACAGAAGCATATGATGGAGGTTCTCACTGGTGCAAAGATCGCCTGGTAGTAAGTAACTAAGCCTCCTTGTTATCGGCTATGCCATATTCAAGCTCTAGGTTATGACATGACCAACTGCAGCCCTTATGGCTTACTTCATGAGATAATCTATTAGAAATATATCTCTCAACTAGAGCCTTTGTCGCGATTCACGTCCCACCCGATGACTTAGTCTGGTATAGTTCATACTCATAGCTTGAAAATAAGAATGGTGCCACTCCCTTCAGATCGTTCTCAAAAAGGGGCATGCTGACGTAGTACTATAACATATTAGTCAGTATCAAATAGCGGCGGTGAAAAACATACCTCAAACGTGCCATTGGAGCTTAAGCTGCCTGTCTGGACTGTCCACTCCCACGCCAACGAGCCATCATGTGGACGAGGCTGCGCGAAGGTAGTAGTCATCAAAATATAACCATCCAAAGCTGCTTTCAGATATTTGTCACCCTTGGTATAACCCATGCGAACAGCTTTGAAAAGACTGGCAACAAAGATGTCAGTTCCTGAACTCTCAATGTAGTTGCCGGACTTATGCTCTAAACCAGGGTCCATAACGAGCCACCAGCCCTTAGTAGCCTTGTCTTGGGATGTCACGAGCGCGTCAGCTAGGGTTCTTAGATACTTTAACAGGCGCTTGCGACCTTTGTGCTTTTCAGGAAAGAAATCGAGAGTATCCACAAGCGCCATGATGTACCAGCCTACACCGCGACTCCAGACATGGGGTGCAGCTCCAGTTTTAGGATCAGCCCAGACTTGTGTCTTGCCGTGATCGAATCCATGAACAGGTAGACCATTGGTATGGTTGCTTGACCGCGTTCCTGCATCGATGAGGTCGAACTGCAGAGCGATGTCGTCCCACGCAGTGCTGTTGTTGGGTTCAAACTCGTGGGTCCAGCGAGCGTAGAAGACATCTAGCATGTAGAAGCCATCGAGCCACATCTGGTCGATATACGCCGGATATCGGTGGTAGAAGCCTCCATCAGGCGTGCGACCTGTGCGGTCAATCTGCTTGCGCATTTGCGTCGCCGCATTCCTGTAAACATCGTCTCCAGTGGCATTATACATATCCAAGAATGTATAGCCGATTCGGATATCATCGATCGAGTTGCTGTTATTATACATGAGAACAGTACCATCGTGCTCTGGGTATAGAAGGATATCTGCGCCACGCTTGACATAGTCAAAGTACTTCGTATCACCGGTTCGCTCAAGCGCCCGAAGGATTCCGGAGTAGTATGCTGAGACGGTGTAGGCAAGGGTGGGTTCGACTCCATGTTGCATTTGAGAATCGGCCATCCAAGTGAGATACCGTGGACGGCCTTGGAACTGGGTGTGTTTGAGCTTCTCGCCGGGCTGGAAAGTAAACCATCCTTGAGGAAGTGTTATGCCGGCAGCAAAAGCAGTACTGACTATAGAGCCAAGCGCGAGGAGAGAGAAAGAGCTCCACATGATTATTGGTAGAGCATGAAAAGAGATAAAAGCCGAGGTTTGTATGATACATCGATGCAAGACACCATGATGCGGATGCGTAGCTTAAATATTTTTCACTGCCATGAAAACGATGTTTACATACAGGCGTCACACAGGTCGCCGTTTTGAGTATCTGGCTTTTCCGAATTACAAAATGCTTGCACTGTTAGATCGTCTCATCAACATGCAGAACATTTTGCATGATAGCATAATGATATTATCGGACTGATATCTTCATAGGGGATTAGACAAAGCGGGGTAGAATTAAGCTTAATTGGATACGCTCAGATCTGCAAAACGACGAGACTTTTATGGTGGATAAATATTTTCCAGTTTCCAGCATGATTGCTTTGCAAGCAGCCAGGACGGAAAAGCATAAGCGGAGAAGCTACAGGACTGGACCTATGCCTCGGCTGTCCTTTGAGTGTTGATTCGTTATTATGTAGGGACATTGACTAATCCTTGAATTTGCCGGCGATTGCCTTGGCAAGCTAGCTCTTGTCTATATGAAGGTTATTCAGCTTGGAAAATGCTCATCTCACCAGGATTGACACGGGTCGCGATGAACTGTACTTTGAGAAAGCTATAACATATATTGTGCCTCTTTCTTTTGGTGTTTATTGCTTATATATATCTTTATTGTAGCTACTGTTAGACTTTGATAAGAGTGTTATTTTGAGTTGATAGTCCCCACAGCTGATGGCACACATCACGCGCCTCACACACGTACGCTTGGTACTGGCCCAAGGACCAGCCGGCTGATGGGAATTTTGTCAGCGGCCATCGCCACGACTGGGAGAACGTTGTAGTGCTCATAGATAACTATCAGTCTCCTGGATCTACCCTCTACGCCGATGCCGCGTCTGGCCATGGCGATTACAAGAAGACCAAGAACCCTCAACAAAGTAGCAATAATATCATGACTGAGTACTTCACTAGCTTTGGCAAGAACCATAAACTCCAGTTCGAGACTAGCCCCGGACGCACTTATTGGATCTATGACTGGGCTGCTATGACTCCCGCTGTTGGCAAGGGTTTGATCACCGGCCCGTCTGGCGATCCCAAGAAACCTTGGGGAAGCGCCAGTGTCCCTTTCATTGACGAAAACTTCGGCAACAATCTCAACAAGGCCTGGTCCTGAAAAGGCTAAAGTTCCATGAACTTCCTTATTCCTCATAAACATATACCTATGCAGGCAGTAGCAGCTACGAAGGCGGTGGATAATGAGACGAGATGGAAGAGTCAGGAGGAACGCAATATTCTGAAGGGGAAATACAAAATGTAGAAAATGGTGCAATAAAGCATTTAGGTGCAAAGGAGGAGAGTGAGAGAGGATAGACAATATACAGCGATGGCTTGTTTCTTTGCATACCTGCCAGGACATCATTATTTGAGTGCGATCTACCTGCTTTGCAATAACAAACCGGTAAATTTTTATGTCTTTGATAAAACAGCGTAGTAGCCTATATAGATCTCACTCTAACTAAGTTACATGAGGCTGAGAGGGTGAGCTGTTTCTAGCAGTTGTGCCTGATTCTTTATCTCCTGCCAGTTTGACGTCCACCTGCTTTGTCATAAGATGATCAACATCAGCATTGAAAGCCACAAGTACAAGAGCAACAGCGGCAAAGGAGATACTGGTGAGAAATGTTACACGTAAGGCAGACGCGAAAGCAGACTTGATACCCTTGACTGCGATGGCGAGAATGTTTGGAGGGACACCTTGAAGTGCAGGGTTCTTGAGATTGCCACTTAGAAGGGCCTGCAGAATACCGGGAATTGTCTTTGGATCAATACCAGCCATGGCAAGGGGCATACCCGCCTTAGAGGGGAGGTTGGAGCTGAAGCGTGAAGATAGAACCGATGAGTAGACTACAAGTCCTATAGCCCCTCCCATGGAACGACAAGTGATTGCGACTCCCGTTGCAGTGCCGATATAATCATGTGGTACGTCCAGCTGGATCATAGTAACTGCTGCAACCGTGATGGACGTTACACAGAACCCAATCAATGCCACGAGTACTGTCGACGCAACATGGGAACCTGGGGTGACAATAGCTTGGGCCCCCAAACAGGTCGTGAGAACCGCGAGGTTTCCAGTAAGTACCCAGCGTGCGTGTCTGAACTTGGTTATAAAGTACCCTACAATCGGGCCAGCGAGACAGCCAGCGGCACCAAATGCAGATGTGTACCATCCGACTGCCATAGTGTCGCCAGTGTAGAGCATGGCAACTTGTTGAGGCCAAAGCGTGGATGTCGAGTAGTAAGCCATACCAAAAAAGCCAGCGGCTTGAATGAGGATAGCACTGCCTCGAAGGGAAGTAAAGAACTCCCTGGGGAAAAAGCTTTCCCTTACTTTAGTATATCTCTCCCACACAAGCAAAGCCACTAATAAAAGACCTCCCACGATCATCAATGTGATGACTGTAGTAGACTTCCAAGGAAACTCTTTGCCTCCAGTTAACAAGCCGGTACCAAGTACGGTAATGCCGGCGATGAAAAGGAAGTTTCCGAACCAATCGAGACCGAGGAACCGCTGAATCTCTGTCTTGCCTTCGACTTGCTGATACTGATGAACTGGCTTATAGAACAGTATTGTGAGGGCGCAGGCGGCCAGATCGAGGGCGAAGGTCAGCCAAAAGGTACCACGCCAAGATCCATCCCTGACAATGCTAAATGCAATCACAGGTCCGAACACAGAGGCAGGGAACGCCGATGCCTGAAAAATACCCATGGCCAAGAACCTCGACCTTCTGGGCACCATCTCGGAGAGGCACGTCAGTGCTAACTCTTGTATCGCATTGCCCACGCCAATGAAGGAACTTCCGATAATAACAGTCCGGACCTCATGCGCAGTCGCAGCCACCACGCATCCAATGGCACCAATGATGTTGCCTACAATAAGAAAATTGCGGCGGCCATAGACATCACTGAGACGTCCGAAGGAGGGACAAAGAACGGCAGTGCAGAAGAGTTGAGCGTAGGTCATCCATGTGTAGCTTGTGCTAGGACCAATATCCGCGTTGATTTCTGACATGATGGTTGAGGTCATGGAGGTCGAAAACAGTGTCGACATATAGCCGAGTTGGAACGACGCCATTGCTAACCACAGCTGCCAAGTCATGTTGAAGTCGACATCTTCGGGTTCCTGGTAGGAGGGACCGCGAGATATGGCTTTTTCAACTTGCTCAACGGTTGTGCCATTGTTCAGTGGCTTAGGTGAAGACGACTTCATGTTCTTTTGGTATTTCTGAAAGAAGTTTATTAAAGGGCAATCAAGAAATAGCTCTGAAGAATAAGGTTCAGATTTTCAGAGAATTCTAGCTGCCTTATATACAAACTTCTGTGTCTCTCAATACATTACACCAACAACGCTTCTGCCTTAGTAGCACATCTAGCCGGTGCCGTCCAAAATGGGAAAATGAGGGGTTACTGACAGCTAAGCACAATCGTTCAGTGAATTTAGCTCAAGACTACTACAGGCTTTACACCATTCTCTATTGTAATCGTGTCACTAAAGGTTAGACTTAGGATGAGATATGCAAACCTGTGAGGATGCGCCCCAGGTCTCCCCTCCCTTTCAGTTCAGTCATTTATTCTCATCCAATAAATTGACTAGTCTTAACTTACGCCAATCCCTTCTGAGCTAACGGTAGTGGATGTTAGTGTGTTAGACAATTCTAACAATCCTTTCCGAATCCCGCGGAATTTCCATCTTTGTCAACTAACCGAGGGTTTAAAGTCTATAGTGTATAGACTGATCCGGAGTCAGTAAATAGAAGAAAGCCACATCAGCTGAAATTGAGGTCTGATCTCACTATCGCCTTGCAGTAATTGGATAGAACACACGACTGAATAACGTTAGCCGAGGGTAAAATATGGCAAGATAACAATTATTAGACCTCGGGTTAATTGGAACACAGCATTCTGGAGAACCCTGCCGTTGCCCACTTTCCCCGGATTTGCCATCTGCAGCTAAGACTTTTAGCTAAAGTTTATCACGAGTCTATTGTATCTTAGCCATTTTTCTTAGCCGGAAGCTCCGGGATCAGTCCAGGCGCCCAAGCGTTCTGACTCTGGGGTAGACGTATGGCGCTTAGAAAGGCTGTTGATGATAATCTTGTTTGCAAAAGTGATGTTGTTCTTATCTCATATTGCCACTCCGTCGAGACAACAGCTCACCTACTCGCCATACTTCAAACAGTATAAGACTCTCTACAGCTTTCTCAATATGTCCTTTGGAACGGCGTCAGAGGTCTGATATATCCAGGGTCTTTTTTACCGTCTCCCAGGTGATATGTCTAAGCGCCAAACCTAAGGTGCCGACCTCGTACCCGCTACATGGTATAGCCAAGGCGCGCGCTGCAAGGTCTAAACTTAACTGCGGATGTAGCAGTAGTTAATGTAAATGAGAACATTCCATTCCAAGCGTTGTTTGAGGGGCTATTTAAACCCTCCCTCCGCTCGCTCTAGGAACTTGCCCGAACTGTACATCCCATTATCTGATGTTTTGGGAGTATCTGCGGGCATCGTCGAGCTCGTCATTTATGCCCAAGTTAGAGAAGATGCAGAAGAAGAAACAGGGCACTAGGCTGTTATGTAACAAGGCATCTCCCTAGTAATCTCGTTTGATTCATTCTCATGCTTTACAGGACATAATTCTCAAAACCACTAGTCCCTTTCATGACCAGAAAGTCAGAATTCTCTGACATCCTGGCTCAAATTCCTTATCGCCAGTTGTGGCTAGCTATCCAGAATCTAAGTAGGGCACTGTGATCAGAATGCACCCCGGTCTAGACCCTGTAAGGCTCAACAACCCCGGATCACCGGACCGCCGGAACCCCAGGATCTTGGGATGACGATTGAGCATCCTACTCTACCCCCAAGCATGATACATTATAGCTGTAGGCCCGCACTCGCACTACAAGAGGGCCATGGCTTGAGCTGCTAGCTTGGTGCTACTAACGGTGGAGCTATTGCGGTTGTCATCTTTTTCTGACCACACCTACAAGCTCGGATCGCGCGGGGAAAACGTATATTTCCCACTAACGTAGTTTGTAAGCTTGTATTTGTTCGCAACTGAACATTTACTTCAATAATCGACTCTAAACTATTGCTCATTTTATCCAATGATCAGACACCACCGTGGATACCCAAGCAACCTTAGTTTGTCGAGATCTACCGGTATCATGACTGACTTCCACCCCTCGCACCCCAACCCAGGGTTCGGGAACCTGTCTTTGATGGATATTATCACAGCCGCTGGGGCAATCGGGAGGATGTCTATCGAAGTCTTCTTCTTCATTCTCGGCAGCGTGTTCAAGAACAACAAGAATGGGGACCAGAAGAACAACCTGCGTTTCTTTATCCAACGCAGGTATGTAGAAATAATATTGGCACCTTGTTCTCCTTCATCCAAAAAGAAGTAGTGCAACCCGAAAGGTATACACGCGTCGTTGTGGAGCAAAACTTACTTAGATCTCAATAGACTCTTGACCTATCTACCCATTTCCGTCCTGCGGCGTCCATCAAAGAGTCTAGACAAAGCGCTGAGTTCCAAGAGGTATGCTGGCCTCCGCCACTCTTTCATCGAGGGGGTAAGGCGTGAGGACTTTAGTGCGATATGGTTCTGCAATCCTAAGTTAGGTGACACCTCCAGCCCTTTCACCGTCGCCGATATGGTAATATTATTTGCCCATGGCGGTGGGTACGTCGTGGGACAGCCAGAGATGTATACATCACTGCTTATGCGCGTCGCTGAGGGTATCGAGTCTTCAGGTCGGACCATCGCCATCTGCGCTCTTGACTACGCGCTCGCGCCGGAATATGTTTTCCCACGGCAGCTGGAACAGATGACGGCTTGCTGGGACTATATAACAACAGAGCTAGGCATTCCCTTGTCAAAGATAGCCCTCATAGGGGACTCGGCTGGAGGATCATTGTGCCTTTCTCTCCTGGCGCACATGGAAAGCCCAGCACCTGGTGTACCTAGAGCCAAGATTTCTGGTAGCCCAGGCATGGGGGTGTACCTCATCAGCCCTTGGGTCAGCCTACTTAGCGAAAAGGGGTACCCTGACAAAGAGGACACCGATGTGCTTGATGCAAGAGCCTTACGTAAGTGGGCCGCCATGGTGACCTCAGGAGTGGACGTTAGCGTGATGCAGAAGTATCTGGAGTTTGCCAATAGCCGTGATGACCTGAGGAAAATCCTTCCCAGCCGCACATGGGTATCTTCAGGATCGGATGAAGTCTTCCTCCATAACATCTCGGCGTTTGTGAATACCGCTAGGGCCAGCGGATGTCGAGTAGACTTTGAGGTGAAGGATGGTCAAGCACATGACTGGCAGTTGATGGAGACTTTGGACCACGAGGACGAATTCCTGTCCCAGGAATATCCTGTGCTTGGCGCCGATTCAATGACCGGTGCTGCATCTATTGCAAAGGCTCTGATGGTTGGTTACAATTGGAAGGGATAGTGTTGAATGTACTAGATTTGGCGAAAGGCGATGATTACTGTGGCTGGTTAGAAAATAGATCAATGGCTGACATAACCTTTGATCAGCGATGCATTGCAACCATGTCATGATGAACAAGCTAAATTAACCCTTACTTAGTAAGTTTTGTCCGTTGATAATCATCATCAGTCGACTATTAGGGGGTCAATCCGTTACAAAAACAAATTCCTCCCTCACAATGATTAACTAGATATCAACTAGGTAGAAGGTTAAGCGTAATCTTCCTATTAGTTATTTAACATCACTTCGGATTTATTGGTCATCGTGAAAGCTTCTGGGTAAAAGCTTAGGTATATTGAGGAAAGAACTATAGTGTTGCCATTCATCACTTGGGTTCGCAGCCTAAATCTTAACCTTGTAGGCGGCATTTATCCAATAGCTAACATCACTTCCACATGTTAAAAACAGTTCTGCCAGTTACCTTTCCTCCTATAAGGTCCTTGACGCCTTCGTTGATCTCATCAACGTGTCTGGTCTGTTCTCACGTCAGTCTGACTTCCGTGCCGATACAATCTTTAAAGAAGCGAAAATGACGCCTTACAAGGATAAGAGGTTTAATGTTGTGAGACGCGGCCATGGACAAGGACTCAGCTAATTCCTGGCGCGTTCCCTGATTCGTGGCGATGATACTGAGCTCTCGCAATACCATTTCGGTGACATTGCAAGGGAACAGCTCATGGGGAGCACCAACAGCGATGATGGCGCCTCGAACTTGAGTGATTCCCATGCCGAACTGATACGCCCTGATAGACCCGCTGACAACAAGAGTCGACTGTGCCAGCTCGATGGTCTCCATGGGCGTGGTAAGAGAGTTGAAGACAGCATCAGCACCTGAATGACTGGCTAGGTCAAGCTTATCTTGCGTGACGTCATACGCATGTACACGGAACCCCATGCATGGCCTTTGCATACATAATCGCGAGATGGCCAACTCCACCAGAGCCAACAATATTGACTAGAGAGCCTGGGAGTTGCCGTTTTGCCGCTTTTTTAATCGCCCCATAAGCCGTCACTCCTGCGCAAAACAATGGCGCAGCTATCTCGTCCGATAGCTCCTCTGGGACCTTGACAGTAGACAGTGGATCTGCCAGGCAGTACTGAGAGAAGCCACCATAGGTGCCATTGAAGCCAACGGATTCTTTAAGTTTGCAGTAACGATGGTTGTCCAATTCAAGATGGTACTATAATACATACAGATCCAAGCGCGAGGGCCACATCAAGTCAATGCACCCCAAGTTCACTTCGGTGTTATACTCGTCGATGGCGTGAGGTATGCTAGCACTCTCTCTCTTCATCTCGTCACAAATTGTTGTTCCACCCTTCGACTTGCACACCAGCGGCTCTCTCATTTATAATCATGTCTGTCAGTCAAGTGCTAGATATCGATACAATGATGGAGCATATTTGATGATATCTGATTGACCGTTGCCTCCCTATGGTAAGCCAGGAACCTTCAAATCGGTCCCCGTTCCAAGAAGCGAGTTGGCATATCAACTTCCCGAGCACCTGGTTATTCCGCGATGATCAGCAATTGGTCAAGATACAGAGAATGTTAGCCTCAGAGGCGACTCACGTAGGAATTCTCCAAAGCTCTTGGCCAGCCCGTCCAAGCGAGGGGAACAGCTGATACCTCCCTCGAGGACGCCCATGACGAGGAAATGCACACAACGAATATTGGAAATGTCAAAACGCTCAACTTCCCACTTCTCACTGTAATCATACCCCAGAAGTTGTTTTACCCTCTGAATGGACAAGAAACTTCGGAGCCAGTCATACTCATCATCCTCTGTCACCCAGAAGCCTACATTGGCGTTGGATCCCTTGTCGCCAGATCGAGCATGAACTCTCATACCAAGCGGTGCACGTGCGGTGTCGCCGTAGCGGGATATATCGAGTTCCTGATGCGCATCGTAGGTGATCTGACCCGAGAACGGCTTTGTCTTCTGTGGGGGTGAGACATACTGGCTGTCCTCGCCCACGGTTACTCGCAGCTTCGTATCAGCATAAGGCACGAGGAACGGCTCGTAGACGACATAAGGACGGGGGGCCATCTATCCAATAGGGTAAAAAGGGATCAAGTTAGTCTAGGTCTTATAAAGAGCCTCTTAGATATGATGTGCGCAGGGAACTCGTACATACCATGCGAAAGTCCATGCAGGCATGCTGCCCACAGTATCCTCCAAGACCATAACCTCCGACCGCAACAGGTAGTGTAGCTAAGGTCTCCTTGATGTCTGCCTGGGCGAAAAGCCGAAACATGCACGTTGCGAGCGCTTGTGAGGGAGCGTCATGTCCTGGTGTTCCATACGCGAAGGACAGCATAGTCAGCCCGATTGGGAATGACTTCTTCAAGGCAGTTCCGAAAGTCTTGCAACTTCTCTTCCACATCTAAACCGACGGCGAAAAGGTAATACTCAATCTGAAAGCCGCCAGTGGTACAGATAGCCAGCTTGGTAGTTGGCGGAGGAGCCTGGCCAGTCAGCCCTGATACCGAAACCCTATTCTTACTCTTGTCCAAGACCTCAACGTTGCGGATGTCAGCGACTACATCGGGGTTGAGATAGAATGGCCCCTGGATCTCGTAGACAAGTTGAGCTGTGATGGTGTCTTTGCTAACTAGTCCGCGGGCCCCTTCTTGTAGGGCAACCTCGAATGAACCGTCGGACGAGACCTCGGCGATAGGAAATCCTTGGTTCCAGTTTTTGGGGATTGACTTGAACCCGGAAAAGTTGCCACCGGTAGCATAGCAGCCGCATTCAGTACAGTCTAGGAGCAAATGATCCTGTCAGTCTTGTCCATCTATTTCCTGGTTGTTCAGGCAGGCAGGCAGGCAGGCAGGCGGTTCCGCCAGGTGGACTTATGATTTGCGACTTACGACCAGCGATCAAGGCCCCAGCCAGTTTGTCATACTCGTCTTCTTTCCAGCCGTGCCACCATGCTGCAGCGCCTAAGTTGTTCAAGTCAACATACGAAGCGGCATAGAAGACATGTTTGTCTCTGTAGGCTTACCCATCACTGGACTTGCGTCACAGCAACGCCCCGATATAATGATGTCGGCACCGGCGTGCAGGGCAGCCAAAATTCCAGACATGCCCACATAAGCGTTGGCACTGAGAACCGGCTTGTCGATATGAGACAGGTCGCGTCCCTTCACGTCCAGATGCGGCGCATAGCCAGGCTTCTTAAGAGTATCCAGAATATCCATGACATTGTCACCTTCGACACACGCGACTTTCAGACTCGTAATTCCATACGACTGGAGAAGTTCCTGGCATTTCTGTGCGAGTCCCTTGGGGTTCAGTGCACCGCCATCGTGGATGACCTTGATGCCCTTATCGGCGATGATGTGGGCAGTCTCACGGTCGAGTTGCCGCAGAAAATTGCCATCGTAGCCCATGGCTGGATCGTTCTGCTTCTCCAGCGCCAGCCAAGCTAATATGTATCAGAAATTCATACTCGCCTGACATGCCAGGATGCGTGAGCTCACCTACATTGACCTCGGCAAGGTAATCCCCAGTTACGACGTCCACAGGTCCCTCCCTCACAATGCGGTAAAGTGCTCCGGGCCCATCGCCGGTTGCACCGCTAATGTTTGCAATTCTTACTGGACGCTTCGTAGCAGCCATTCTGGGCAGATCTGGTTGGCGCAGTTGGTGTCGCGGATGTATGGTACTGTGTATTTTCTTTTCTTGAGACCCGTCTCAGCTAATGAAGGGGGTATTTGAGAATTCTCAAGTAGACCTAATTAAACAAGTTTTGCATTCTCGTATAGATTCATTGAACCAATCAAAAATCATTTATGCACACATCATCCTGTCGTTGTTGATGATAAGTGTCTGTCATACTTTTCTGACATGCCTCTCGACTCGCGACTGCAGTGCACCATACACCTACCCAGGCTGTAAATGTCCAAGTCTGTAGTGTACTCCACCGGTGGAAAGGGAAAATACGTCAACTCAACATAAGGAATAACCCTGTACCTTTAAAATGCCACGGTGCATTGCATTGAAGGACAAGATCATCTCTGTCAGTAAGCACCATTTTTCATCTTAGCAACCATGGGCTCTCTCGAGGGCTATTCAATCCGCCAAGAGGCTGCGCGTATCTTCCACGAGGTGCTTCTTCGGGACGGTAGGCTGCAGATACCTGCCGAAGTGGCATTGATCGCTCAAAAGACATCCTTTGACGACACCGACACCATGGACACGCCGTATCTGCCCGTGCCATACAAGTTCACCGAGTCTAGCGCCGCTCTCTGGGCGTTGGCTGCAACTTTTGGAAACCTCATTGCTCAAGATCGTTTCGGCGTTGAGCAAGGCGTCCGCGTCAATACAGACGTGGCAAGCCTGTTCCTAATGTCGGCGGGCTTAGCCAAAGTCGACGGCAAGGGTCTCAACGATCCATCAATTGCTTCAAGATACCTAAGATATGATCTCGGCCGCTCTTTCGATCCATATCGGCGGCTGTGCACAAACGTGTACCGTACGCGTGACCGTCGCTTCTTCCATCTCCACGGTAGCATGAATGCGGACAAGTCCCTCACAATGGTGAACCTGCCCTTGGAAAGGGAGAGCATAGGGACTTACGCAGATTTTGTCTTCACCTACGCCTTACGCATGATCGAACTGGATTCCGACTGGCTTGATGTAGAAGCTAATCTCCACTGGCGTCAGGCAGGGACTGTTTGTCTTACCGAAGACGAGTTCAGGGCGAGCCCTCAGGGCCAGGCCATTCGCGACGATAGTATCTACACTATTACGCCCTTTGATCAGGACACAATTCCACCTGTTCCATACCCTGAGGTCAATGGCCCCGGCTTCAGGCCTCTTGAAGGTCTCAGAGTCCTGGATATTTCCCGTGTCATAGCCGCTCCTACTATAGGCAAGTTAGCAGCCTTGTTCGGTGCCACCGTCATCCGCGTTTCTTGCACTTCCCAGCCCGACATGGGCCCTATCCTCCTCGAGGGTAACCTAGGCAAGAGAGATGTGTCGATCGATCTCAAGTCAAGAGAAGGTCGCAAAACGCTGTGTGATCTGCTTGAAACCACTGACGTTGTGATTGACGGATATCGTCCAGGCGCTCTGGAACGTCTCGGCTTTGGCGACGCTTACCTTCGCACCATTGCAAAGCGTCGCGGCAAAGGCATTGTGGTCATCCGTGAGAACTGCTATGGCTGGAAGGGCCCATGGGCTACAAGGTCTGGGTGGCAGCGGATCTCGGATTGCTTCACGGGCGTGGCTTGGGGCATGGGGGAGTTTCTTGGTCTGAATGAACCTGTGGTGCCTCTTCTCCCCAAATCAGACTACCAGACTGGCCTTGCAGGGATTATCGGTATCCTATCTGCAATCCATCAAAGATCAAAGATAGGTGGAAGTTACAACGTTGATGTATCTCTGACCCAATTTAACCAGTTTCTCTTGGGGCTCGGAAAGCATTCCGCCCAGGTGCAGCAACACTTGAAGAACCTGCACCCGGATTTGAACGTTCGACACTACGACGACATGTTGAGTCTTACTGAGAAGTTTATGCGCACGGCATACGGCAACACACCACGGCTATTCAACTCAAAATACTTCGATGAGACCCCGAGTCGCTTTAATGGCCTTGAAGGCCAGACAGAAACACTGACATATGTGGGCCCTGCTGCGACTTACGATGTCACCAAACTCCATTATGATATTGGTAGTTGTTTTTTGGACACATATCCTCCTGAATGGCCGGCCGATGCATTCGAGCGCAAATAGATAAATGGCATCCGCCAACGCGCAACAATACACGAATTATTAATCTTATGTGTTTGATCAACCTCGTGTATGCTAGGAAGAGAAAATCCTTTGACGGCAGTGATGTATGGAATGCTCGAACGTAGTCATCAATAAAATTTGATTACCTTTGCGATTAGGGAAGGTAAATAAATGGAACAAAGGCCAGCCTTCTGGCACTTGACTTTGGAGCGAATTAACTAACCATTATGGCATTGATAGATGTTCCACAGGCCTGTAAGTGACACTCCTCACGAGACTGGTGCACCAAAGGCTGCATACATTTACCCAAAAGTTTGGAAACATTAGCTGACTAGTACGATTGTGAATCAAATTTCGTATTCAATATTGGAAGTGGGAGTACAACTATCTGTCACAACAGATTTCTATGAATGATTGTCCGTTCTGATTGATGATCAAACTGGTCCTACGCATGAACAAGCTTCAGATGAAACGACGTCCTGCCATCCACCATCACCGACAAGACAGCGTCACCATTATCGTCTGCAACGACTGTCTCTTCGAGTCCCTTGTACTTAAGGCCAGGGCGTAGACGGGAAACAGTGATTGAAAACCTTCCGCTGTCTGCAGACGGATAAAGAACAACATCAAGGTCGGAACTGTCGTGGGAGTATGCCTTTGCCACGAGCACACCTGGATACGGCACTTTGGACAAAAGTGGTCCGTTCAAAGCATTTTCAGGTGGACCCTAGCAGTTGAGAGAGATGTGTCAGTGACCTTGTGCTTCTTTCAGGTAGTGTCTTCCTCGTAACAGTGGTGAAAAAGACAAGTCCCAACATACCTTTTGTAACAACCGCTTCCAATTCCCCCCCATGAAGTAACTCTGCGCGAAGAATGGTCATCTTTGTAGTGGTGGAAGGTCCATTGTCCTCTCGCGGTAGAGCAATGGCACCTGTGGGAGTAGTTACCGTACCATATGCCTTGTACGCTATATTAATGGCAGCCTCACTGAGCTCCTGGTCACCATATTCAGACGCCGCCTGAGCAACGAACCCATACATGGCATAGGGGTCAGGGCGATAGGTACCAGAGTCAATCTTATCAGCACCCCTGAGACCGACGCACTTCAGCTCTCCTGTCGCTCGATTAAATTCTATATTTTCCTTTGGAAACAGGGCCCAGAAACGTCGTGAAATGTGAGGAAATGTAGCCCTCGTGAACATGACGTTTGATAAATCTGTAAGGGCACCGCAGAGGCCTGGGAGGGTGAACCCTGTAAGCTCAGAACGGATGGGAAGAATACTTCCACTGGACTCTGTGAAGTTACGATTAAGACTCTCCTCAAAGGTAGGCGAGATCAGAGCTGTCTCGTTACCGCCAAAATAGCGGTCGTACAGTAATGAGCCAATGAATCCCTGGAAGTTGCAGGGGATGTATGTCCAGTTAGGTTCGCAGGGAAAGAGACAGAAAGGGTTGCTTTTCCACTGATCCATCATGGCCTCCCTAATAGAATGTATGTCGTAGTGGAAAACACGATCCTTTGTGACTTGGAACGGCAAGCTGCCCGGTTGACAAAACCGCTCATCCTGAGTGTTTGCAGTATATAACATCAGGCCTTCAAGGAAAAAGCCAGTCACCATAATGTTGTCCTTCTTGACAGGATCGCAATCAGTGCTGAAATGTCCAAGGAGCTTTTCCCACTTCCAGAACCCAAGTACATCTTGTGTGATGGCCTTTTCAACGAGACGACAGGAGGCATCGCTGATGTATGTATGGGCATTAGGGGTATAGATCCCTTGATAGGTACCTAGGACGTATAGCATCTCATATATCTGATATCGCAAGGCCGAGGTCTGAAATTGGTCAATCTTGGTGAACCAGGTCCAATCATTCTTATCCTGCTGAGCGGCGTCGATAATGTGCTGGATGCGCCTCAAGATGGACAAGCCGAGCTCGCGACTCCCTGGGGGTGGAGCCTCAACATAAATGGCGTCAATCTCTTCGAGGCTGCGCTCCAGCAACGCATTTCTGGTCTCGCGGTGAGCAACTCCCTTTGCCCTCTGTGCTGCGGAAACCCTGTTGGCGAAGAAGAAGATCCCAAAAAGGACAGCGGCTGCACATTTGCCAGCGGGCTCCCACACGGAGCGCCCAGTGGCAAAATACGCACCTGGTATTGATGCAATCCAGAGCAATAGGGGTATCGCAATGGCACCACTTCCGAACCACTAGAGAACAGAAAAGAGACAAATGTCAGTCAAAATGAAGTTCAAGAGAGAACCGCTATCATGTAGAGTGTTATGAGAGAAACATACTGCAAGAAAAACAAGTGGATACAAAGCGAGAGTTAAGATCAGCAGTATGCATCCCAATATGTTTCCGCTCGCAATATATCCAGCTCCAGGGAACAAAAGACCAAGCGCCGCTGCTTTGTATCTTGTGTCAATGGGAATGTTGTGCTGGGAGAAGAGATAGAGGCCCGTGGTAGCCTGTGCAGCCCAGCATAGCAGAGTTCGCATCTGGACAGTCCATCGATGAGAGCCTATGCCGACATGAGGCGGAATCATCTCTCTAGTGAACTGCTTCCCATGTCTGGGGACGACTAGGCTCCCGTTCTTTAGATGGCCCATGATTTGTAGGTTGGCTTTGTTGTGTATTTGGTCAATTCGATGTATTCCGATGCAATATTCTGACTATACCACTTAAAACAGGCTATTTATCTTTAACTCTATATCCTTATTTACGGTCACTTCTACTAGATATAGATTCTATTAGAAATATACACTATAGACACTATCCAGAAACATGACTGCTCTAATTTTGACACTCTTGGCCTGGATATCTAGGTAATGCCAAGACAACGCGTTTCGAAATAGACATTACAGTCTAGCTCGTGCTTTTTGTTATGTCATTCTTGTCAGAAATTTCTGACACTCGCATGATTTTCCTCTGCCCCATGATTCCACAAATTGCGGGGAAATAGGGATAGACCCGGACTTTAGCATACATGCCGGAGATTCGGGCTCCTAAAGTGTCCGTGTCCAGGGTGATGACGTGAACTCAATTAAGCCACTTTTTACCTTTCCCAACGCCAGCATAATGTCATCAAAGCAAGTAAGGAGTAAGTACAGATAAATGGGTCAGACAATTGCAAGCTAGCATTATTCACTAAACTTCAGCCTACCCTGCAGTCACGATTTTAGGCGATTGCTATAGTAAAACTAAGTATTATATATAGGTAATATATTACATCACTTTAAGTAAATATTAGACTTTATAAAACGTTTGATAAACAACACTTAACTCAATCTCCTTGATATTATATATATAAATTATTCTTGCTCTGACTCTAGGGTTTATCGTATACTCAATCTGTGATATAGGTCCCTAATCATTTCTAAAGCAAGCTGCCTGGGCTCGCTTATATTAGCCAGCCAGTACAAGCAATAAGCCAAAGCTCCTGTCAAGAGTGCTGCCGGCCAAGAAAGCGATCTTAATAAAGATGTATAGCCAACCCGTTGATCCTTCATTGCTTCGCCCCTCTGGAAGCTGTCCTTGTTGGAGACACTTAACTTGTTTCTGTTCGCAAGATTGAATGGTGGGTATCGGAACCCCATTACCTTATCAAGCCAAGCCGGCAGCTCTACGACAGTCCTCTGATGCGTAAATGCTAGGAAACCATATTTCCCGTGATAGAAGCCCATGCCAGAGTCTCCAACGCCACCAAAAGGAGCATTTGGAACACCAGCGTGCATAGTTGCATCATTTATTGTAACACCTCCGGATATGGTAGAGTCTTGGAGACGGTCCATCTCGCTCTTATCGGAACTGAAAATGTAGATTGCCAACGGTCGTGGTAGGTTGTTCGTGATGACGACGGCCTGCTCCATCGTGGCCTTGATGACAGGGCATATGGGCCCGAAGAGCTCTTCGCTCATGATCGCATCCGAGGGCGAGACGTCAGCCACAATGACGGCGTCGAGGTGTGTTTTCTCGTTTGATTTGATGTTATTATTGTCGCCACAATAGATGACTCTCCCCCTGGACTGGTGGAGCATGTTGACAAGACGATCGCGGTTTCGCTCGTTGATGATATGGCACATTTGACCGGTAGCCGCAAATGTCCGTGTCCAATACTCCAGCCTCGCTAGGAACTGGTCGTAGATGGATGGGTCGGCAAAGACGTGGTTCACAGAGAGGCAGATCTGGCCTGCATTTTGGAATTTCACGGCCGCAATGCGCTTTGCTGAGAGATCTATATTGGCCGTCTTTGTTATGATGGCAGGGCATTGGCCACCTAGCTCAAGTGTCGTAGGTGTCAAGTTCTGGGCGGCAGCTGCTGTGATAAAGCGAGCCACTTTGGCAGATCCAGTGAAGAAGATGTGGTCAAATCTGTACTTCAGGATCTTGGTAGTCTCCTCAGGGCCACCTGTCACAAGTCTGATGGCTGATTGATCCAAATATGATGCGACTAAGTCTGCCATAACACGTTCTGAGTTCATGGCCAGCTCAGACGGCTTGATAATAACGCAGCATCCTGCCGCAACTGCCGCAATAACAGGCTGGAGCGTCAAAAGAAAAGGGAAGTTCCAAGCGCCGATAATCAACACGACCCCAATGGGCTCCATCCTGATGCGGGCCTTGCCTAGCCGACCGAAGAGAAAGCCTGCATCGGGAACGGGCCTCGTTGCTGCCCACCCCTCAACGTGCTTGATGTGTTCTAGAATGTCTATCTTGAGACCCAGTAGGTCAGAAGCACGACTTTCCATCTCATGTCGGCCCAGATCATCTGTCAGGGCATTGAGGATCTTGCCCTGGTTGTCCTCAATCATCCACCAAAGCTGTTTGAGTTGCCATTTACGCCATGGGATAAGCTTTGTGTGACCGCGAGAGAATGTTTCTTGAAGCCTGTTGTAGCAGCTGGCTAAATCCGAATCAAAGTCTTTGATGATGTTGGTTGTTGGCGCGCCCTCTGCGGTAGCGGTGGTAGAGGCCATGATTTGTGGGCGACTTCAAGAGGCACGAGCGTGATGCGATTTCGTGGCAAGAAATTTCTTATTCTGCTTTCTCTAAAATAATAATAATAATAGTAAATAAATAAATAAATGAATGTTATAGCGGGTAATGGCGGGCTTATCTTCAGATCTCAATCTTATTGTTAGTGACTGGTAGGACCCCGTTCTTGCTAACTAAGGAGAGGGGGATACTGCCCGCCAACTCATGTCATAGAAACATGACAGACCGACTGGGTCACGAAAAAGGCGTTTCGTATACAACAGACATTTGCGATTAATGAGGCTGTCTATATGATATCAATCACCGAAACAAAGCGCCGCATTTCATAAATTTAATGACTTGAACACGGCATATCCACTGGCCAACTCTCACAGCCAGTTTGGAAAGCCCTTTATTGAAAATCACTGACTCATCAAGTCCCGCCCAAAATGTCTATCAAGAGTACGGAGAATCTAGCTGGCACTTTTGTGAGCCAGGAGACTGTCGAATTGGTAAGAGCTCAAGCCCTTTACATGCTTGATGTCGCGCAGAAACTCCCTAACGGCGTCTACGCCATGGGCGGTCTCTACCTCTCATGGGTGGCCAGCCGCTGGTTGTCAGACCGCATGCTGAACAACAACGTATCGGCCAAGTTCGACTGGAAGAAAGAGATTGCCGTTGTCACTGGTGGCTCTGGTGGTATTGGTGCAGAGGTCGTCAAGGCCTTGAACGCTGAGGGAGTCACTACGATTGTGATAGACGTGCTCCCGCTGTCATATCCGAAGTGTGAGTAGTGAAGCAGCTTCTTGGCATGTTGCCTCTCTTCTGACCCTTCCCTTTAGCAAAATCGATTCACTATTATAAGTGTGACTTGACAAACTACGAAGAACTCCAATCCGTCGTACGCAAGATCAAGAAAGAAGTCGGGACCACAACCATTGCTATTGCCAATGCCGGAATTTGCAGAGGAAAACCCATCATGGCTGCATCCAAGAAGGACATTGAGCTGTATGTTCTCGGAAGCATTGAGTGCAAATATCCAAGTGCTAACCATCCTTGTGTAGTACGTTTGGGGTCAACAACCTGGCCATGCTCTGGACGGCCAAGACATTCCTGCCAGATATGCTTGACAATAACCACGGCCATTTCCTCATTGTAGCTTCGCAGACAGCCTGTTCCGCCACGCCAGGATTGACTGATTACTCCGCCTCCAAATCCGCCGCAGTTGCTATCTATGAAGGTCTTGACGGTGAAGTCCGCAACATCCACAAAGCCAATGGTGTCCGCGTTTCGTGCGTGAGCCCAAGCGCTGTCGATACGAAGATGTTCAGCGGCATTAAGCTTGGGCCAGGCATTTCTGCCTTGGACCCCAAAGCCCTGGGGGGTGAGATTGCAGACATAATCTTTTCGGGCAAGTCGCAGAATGTCTTTGTTCCACGATCCGCAGCAGTGGCCGTGTATTTCCGGACACTTCCGGATTGGGTGCGGGTTTTGATGCAAAAGACAAGTACCAAGATGATGGAGGATTCGAAGCCACACGACCCTCTAAAGGACAAGGACTCGTGATAATACCTTTTGGTGGCCTTTTGCTTGAATCTGGAGGGCAAAATATGAGATGAGGAAGAGTATTTCAGTCAGTGAAGATTCAATTGTAATTTATTCGATTGCACTATCCATTTATCTATTAAACCAAGGCCAACTTGAATGGTACTGAGGCGGGGGGAGATCATCAAAAAGGCGGGCCCCGAGACCAAGGTAGTAATTTGATAACTGAAATACATTTTACGGTCTATAGCTAGATATAAAGAACAAGGAGCCATCTTCATAATGCGGAATAACATTATGTATTAGTCTATTCATTGGATACAGTCTGTGAGCTTCATTCCACACAACAATAAAGCTGTTAAGACACATGCCAATGCTAGCCATTACCCTAAACAACATCACGTCAGAGATTTCGCAACAATCAGAGAGTTTTTGAGGGGAACTCACGGTGTAAGTACGAGACGTTGATCGAAATTCTGAAGTAAGCCCGAAGCAAGGGACAGTGCCATAATGTTGTAGGTAGAACTGATGAACCTGTTGAGTTGCACTCTTCGAAGCGTTGCTTGGGCTGTTTCAATTACCCGTAGTAGCCTTACCAGGCCCATGTCCTGTTCATCAGCACCCTTTATAGCATGTAACGCTGCGTCAGCACCATGAGTATCTCGATCGTCACATCCGACGTAAACACCAACTGATGCTTCACTAAAGGCAGCCATATCGTTGTAATCGTCCCCTACGGCAATGACGGGCCCATTCTTCTTGGCCTCTTTGACAATTCGAGCCTTATCCAATGGCAGAAGCTCAGCGTGTATATTACCAGTAGGAATCCTCAGAACCTGTGCAACCGTCGTAGCGGCTGCCAATGAGTCTCCTGTAATGATGCCTACTTCCAAGCCTTGGTTGAGGAGTCCCGAAATCAGATGATGGGCGCAAGGGCGGATTTTGTCTTTCAACACGATAATTCCGATCTGTTCTTTGTTGAAAGCGACACAGACAGTGGTACTGATGGCAGATCGCCACTCTTGGGGGACAAGAGACCAGTCCACCTCGATTCCCAGGCTTTTCATCCACCCTCTGCTCCCAACCGCAACATGTAACAGAGAGCCATTCCGTAGAGACACCCAGCCTTGTACACCTCTCCCAGGCTCGTACCTGGCATTCGTCACAGATGGGAGAATGGTAGCCCCGTCACATTGCGCCTCAGCGGCACATACGATGGCCTTGGTTAGTGGATGGTCGCCGGCATGTCTTTCTATGGCCAATATTATTGACCAGGGATCGGCTGGACAAAATTGCATCAAATCTCCTTTGAGTGTAATATGATGCCAGACCAGCTCCAGTTGGCCAACTGTTAACGTCCCAGTTTTATCAAAGAGAACGGTCCTCGCAACTGCGGCGTCTTCCACGACGTTAAGACGCGTTGGAAATCGAATATTGGACTTCGCCATTGCCGCTATCAACGCATACGTTCGAAATCAGCCAAGGTTCCCAGAAGGATACGGGTGTTTGGTTTCAAAGTGGACTGACTTACCTGCTGCTGAGACAAGTGAGACGGGGACACTGAGTTCTATAGCGCATGGACATGCACACAGCAACATGCTCACCGCCCTTTCCAGGCAATGTTGGAGTTTGAATCCTGCGAGGAGGCAGAATGTGCTGTAAATCATCACCAGCACAAGAATGAAGTCCACAAACCTGCTGCTGCTCATACCATTCTTGCTCGTATTAGTGGGCTCTGAATCCGATGCGCTCACCCTCTCTATCAGCTGTCCAAGACGTGTATCCAGCCCGCAGGTTTCCACTCGCAGAGTCACTTCACCGTCAACAAGCAAACAGCCCGCAAAAGTGCAATCTCCAGATGACGCTTGTGCGATGTTGCCATCACCAGTGAGCCAGCTCTGATTCAAGCTTGCCTTACCTGATAGAACGACGCCATCAGCTGGCACGGACTCTCCTTTGGCAACACGTACTATATCCCCTGGCTGAAGCAAACTTGTGGCTACCATACATGTCGTATCATCTAGGCTGTCTTGTGCTCCTTCGGACTGTATCATGGCAGTGGATGGGAAAAGGGATGCAAGTCTCGAAGTATGGCCCAGCGATCGCCTTGAAACTGTATGCTTGACTACCTGGCCCCCTAGGACCACCGTACATAACATGGCCATACTGGCTAGCGATCTGGTGGGTTGATAATCTCGAGGCTGACCCCAGTCATGGCTATTCTGCACTGGCAATACCAGGAGCGTCAGGGAATGAATAAAAGCCATGATGGTCCCGACCGATGCAAGAGTTGATACCGTGCGAGGGATACCGCCCAAAAAAGGCTTGTACGCCTGTTTGTGCATGCGGCGCGACACATACAGACAGATAAGGGCAGCAATGATCTCTAGTATAGTGCAGAGATACATTTAAATGGGTCTGCGAGCATAGGTGCCGGCGACGGAGACAGCAAAGATGGTGGCAGATAGAGACCTTGTAATGCCAAAGTTACTGCGAAGTTGTTTGTTGGTCTGGTTCCATGCAGCCTCAGATTCCTCCAGAGTCTTCAATGTTTCCTGTAGGTTGCGATGTCCTTGCGATGGTGGCTGTTCCCAGGCATCATAGCCCGTCCCCTGTATCGAGGATACCATAGCCAAGGGTTGTACCAGATCGCCATTGTATTCTATTATCGCTCTCGAAAGCGCCAGAGAAACTCGACAAGATGTGACGCCTGGTATTTCGTTCACTGTAGCTTCTATCTGGGCAATGCACGCACCGCAGGTAATGCCTTTGAGAGAAAGGACACATGCTGAGTACCTATTCGACGTAGTGGGTGACTTGGCCTCCCGATTACAGTTCATATCTTTAACATCTGATTCTGGGCGATATTGACCGATGAATCCGGGTGAATATGACGGGAGCATATCATCACCAGTCTCAGCAACTTTAGTCTTTTGTGAAAGTAGACTCTCAAGATGGTCATGGAGGCTCACTAGCCTCCATACAATATATGCAGCCACAGCGCAACACGCCATCAGAGCTAGCCGCAAGATGGAAAAGGGTGAATAGGGAGAGTGCGATTTGATGGAGATAAGTGTTCTGGGAGTGTGGATTTGACGGCGACGTGTAAAGTGGTGTGCAATGTCAATATGATGGCTGAAGTGACCCTGTATTATTGGGAAGACATGAGCCTACCTATCAAAGAGCGACAAAGGAAAGAAGCAAAAAAGCAAGCGCATACGTACACTGACAGGACAAGGCACATCCCATTGTGACCCCTCTGTCTCCCTCAAATTTACTCGTTCTGGTTGTCAGAAAAAGGTGACAGCGCTAAAATAGAGGAGACGCCACTTAACGCCGGATTTTCAGTTCGATACACGCTCCCTTCCCCGCCTTAACCCCCCGACCACGTATATAACCGGCCCGGGGTCCGTTGTCTATGCCTCGGCAGAGGTAAGTGAAGGAAAGGGCAGCGTTTCGTAGTTTGTACAGACTACAGTAAACAGGTCCAGGGTTAGTAAGTGGTTCTTTGAAGCAACAAACACTAGAAGCAAAAGAAGGGCGGCGTGTAGCATGTATGGACGTACTTGAGGAGAAGTCAAGGACGGGGTATTTATTGGCCAATTCTTTGTTCAACTTCCATGAGGGCGTGTCACCCAGCAGACGGCCTAGCCTTGTCGTCTCGGCACAAAGCTTTGGATTAATGCGTCTTAGTGCTGACTCAAGGGGTGTATTGCGCGGAGCATCCTCTAACCAGTTCTCATTCTGTAAGAACAGATTCGGGTCAATTCCCTTGGTCAGCTGCTGCACCTTGCGCCAGAGCCGCCGTGACAGAGCCTCCTCCACTGGATCCGCTGCCCAGGACTGGAAGTCGCTGTCGGTTCGGTCAATCTCAAAGTAGACCCAGCCCTCATCGAGGGCCGAAGTAGGTATCTTTATCCCAGAAGTCGAAGTGGACACTGGTGAGCAGTTACTGTTGCTACCAAGCGATGTGTTCTGCATGTCGTCCTCTTGTCGGCCTCTCTGGTGCCTGTGCTGACCAAACACATTGACAGCTAGCTTACGCCCTGGCACTTCAATAACAGTGTTGAGCACAATATCTCTACTGAATGCATCCATATCGACGTTCCCACCCGCGAGGATAAGCTGATCTCTGATCTCGGGCCAGTTGACGAAATCAATGACGGGACCAATCGAGGTGGCCAGTGAGCTACACTGAAGAGGGGTTGGGCGAAATGGTTCAGGCACGAGAGAGCGCCGGGCCCCCGTTAGTCTCCAGTAGACAGTTCTTTCCATACAGGCCGCCCCGTTGACGTCGTAGAGGTATTGGTGCAGGCCAGAGTTTGTACCGAGCATATTGACGGTCGCTACGGCGACCTGCTTGGTGATCAGATCTGTGCTCAGGTACCTGGCTAGGGCCATCTGCCGGATGCGGGAGACGCATATGGATGCAGCCTGCAGTATCTTCCTGCTAAATTCCACGCCCGAATAGACCGTAAGCTTCTGAGTTGGTGCAAAGGAGTACATGTCCCACGGCGAAACCTGTAACATGGCATGGAGGTTCTGTGGTGGGGCAGAAGTAGCATCACCAAACATGTTGCATTGGCTGGAACTCTCTTCCAGTGGCTGCAAGAATGCACCGGTTTGTAGTAGGTCTGATTCGTCAAAGGTGAAGCTGCATTCGATAGAACCCGCCTGAGATAGCTGTGGATCACTTTCTGCCCTGGGCAGCATATAATTGTCAAACATGACATGAATAGTATCCAATGTATCAGTTGAAGCATCAAGCTGTACAGAAGCAACAGCCCCAGGGGTCTCTGGAGATGTTGTATCTATCGCTGGGGCTGCAGCCTCAAGTTCCATATCTGGCACGATTGGTTGATTGATTTCCGCCGAATCCTCTTCAACCACTTCCTGGCGCTGCTCATCGCCGGTTGAATCCTCCCGTGGTGCCTGCCGGCCAAAGATCATGTCGAATACGGGATCCTCGGCTGCATTGGCAGCTGCATTGCTCAGACTGAGCAGCTTCTTTCGCATCCGGAACAGGGCATCTTCCATCTCTTGATTATCTTTGACGAGCTTCACCTGGGTGTCGAGTAGCTTCGAGTATTGCTTTGCCTGGTCAGTCTCTGTGGCAAACTGCATCGCCTCTAGCATATTGGCGATATGGCGGTCACTCGCTGCCCGCCTCTCGCGAAGGCATTTTTGAGCGATTCGGTTCTGGGTTCGCTTTCTGTCGCTGTCTGTACGCTTGTTGACGCGACTGGATGACTTGAACTGGCTGCTGTCGCTTCCACTTGCGTCGTCGTTTGTCCTGCGCCTAGTAGACGCTGCGCTGGTAGGTTTACCTTCCTTCGACGGCATTGCGATGGCACAAGGTATCGTAGGCTACCGATTACAGATGTGGTGGTCGGTTTGGCTAATCAGAGTGTCAAGGCTATTGCTGGCAATGAAAATGCAGAAGCAATACAGGGTTGTATTATATGTAGTGTAGGATTCGAGAAAATTAAGGGACTGGGAAGGAATTCATATAATATCTCTGTCTTTATTGAGTGAAATGCGAGGTTGACCCCGGATTTTGCCCGTAGCTTCTGAGATCTAGTCACTAACTCAGTCTGTCTGTCCCCTACCACGGACAAAATCAACACCCCGACCGAGGGTTCCAGACCCCGCTATAACACACGCTAATTTTAGTAAAACGGTCTTAACCTAAGTGGGGTATCTCAAGACTTATTGAAGTATTTCCTATGCTACCTAGTAAATTCATCAAGATATATATTCTATATCATACAGCATATAAAAATAATATCCATCCCTCGTTACTATCATATGATAATTCAAGTGACTACAAGATTATCCTTCAGATATCTTAACTTCAAAGCCTAGTTATTTGTATTCCCCTCCAGTCCTCTTCAAGACGGGATCAGTCGGAGAGTCATCATGATTGCGGATGTAGTAACTGAGATCCCCTCCCAAGGTCTCCGCAGTGCTGTGACCATTCCCAAGATATGCAAACCTGTTCTGGCCAGGCGTGTAGTCAAACTTCCAGTCTTCCCATCGTGGCTCCCGCAGCGCCTCAAGGTAATGTAGAGTCGATCCTGGCCACAAAGCTAGGATCTTGCCAGATGCCGAGCCTGCTTTGTACCACGACCGACAAGGCTCCGCCCAAATAGTTTCTTTCATCCAGGTCTGCACCCACTGGTTAAACTCGCGGACTGCTCCTTCGCGGACTTCGAATGAGCGGATATTCTCCTTCTGGAAGTTTGAGAGCATCTTGATTATGTACTCAACCTCGGCTTCGATACTGATAAGAACGGGCCCATTGCCAATGGGACAGTTTGGCCCTAGAGTGAAAAAGTAATTCGGACAGTGGTCTACAGCCAAGCCAAGATATGCTTGTGGTTCATCTGAAAGGGAGAAAAGTGTCAGCTCGTTTCGAAAAGCTCTGAATAATTCAAGGTTCTTCTCTGACCTTTCCACATCTCCTCCAACTTAGCGCCTCGTGCGCCCTGCACTGGAAATCGTGGTTTGAAGGTGGTGTCGAACCCCGTGGCGCAAATAAGGATATCGACAGGGTACTCCCCTCTGCCGTCGTCGCAAATAACACCAGTTGGCGTAATCTCTGTGATCTCCCCATAGACGGTTTGCACCTTACTATCACCCAGAGATTCGAGGTAGTTCGTTCCAGGCGTCAGTCTCCGGCAGCCAACGGACCACTCTGGTATAAGGAGCTTTTCCAGTTTCTTATTCTGGAGACGCTCCTTCATGCGGCTGAGCATGTAGCTTTGGAGCTCACTTTGCTCCCGTGATCCACGATGAAAGATGCCAAACAAACTGTTGGATTGCGCTTCGATAGCTTTGCGCATGGTGAGATGCATTGATCCGTCTGCTTTGAACTTCTCCTTATCTTCTTTAGAGTAGGCTTGGTAGTCACCACCCAGTGGCGGCGCAACCCAAGTCGCCTCACGGATAAAGGTGACTAGTTTTCCAACTTGATCCTTGATGGCTGGGAGAATCTGGATGCCAGAGGAGCCATTTCCAATGAGTCCTACCGTCTTCCCCACAAGATTAATCCCTTCACGAGGCCATGCCGCGGAATGGATTAGAGGGCCTTTGAACGACCTGATACCCGGAATGGGAGGGAAGCGCCATGAGTTGAGGATACCACCAGCGTTCACAAGGATCTGCGCTTTGTGTACGGTTATTTGATCCTTCTCCAGATCATTAACCTGCACGTGCCACTGGGCTTCCATATCATCCCATCGCGCTCCTACGACTTGGTGCCGCAGTTTGATGTATTTATCCAGCCCGTGATGGCCGCTGAAGCCCTTGAAGTAATCATAGATCTCTTCAGAACTGGCGTAGTTGGCGCTCCAGTCGGTTTTCGGCTCGAAACTCCATGTGTAATTATGACTCGGTACATCGCATGCGCAACTAGGGTAAAAGAGGAGCGAGTCAGCTGATGTCCGAGATACAATATGCAAAACTTTGATATGGTGATGGCAATGGATGGATACGTACCCAGGGTATCTGTTTTCATACCATGTCCCCGAGATTGCGGGATTCTTCTCAAATATCTGCAGCGAAAAATTACCAAAGTGTCGCTGAATCTTGTACGCGAGCAGTAGACCAGATGCGCCAGCTCCGATGCAGATAACACTAAGCTTGCGCTGAGGGGTGAAGATCGAAGACAGGTCACAATGGCCGACCTCCTGAGGGGGAATAGACTCAAAGGCAGAAATAGATCCCATGATGAGGCTATCTCCAACACTTGTTTCAGATATTGATCAGAGGATAAAATTATTAAAGATGGGGATTTATTAGGCTGCTTGGTTGGAAAGATAAACCACGTCAAGTCGCAGTATTGCTGTTTTATATACGGTCATGAATTATATTTCATTCTTCTGTTTATCTGCATTTTCTTCTTCATATTTGTTTCTGCCACTCTTATCTCATGCAAGTGCGCATTATTAGTGTCGAGAGCCAGTAATTCTCGCCGTCATGTTTTTATGACATATCCCACATGACACATAACCCTGGGCCTCACGAAGGCTCAGTAAAATACGGATATAACAAGTCTGATTTTACCCGCATGCCATTGCCTCCATTGGCGTCCCTTGTGTAATTATTCGAGATTGATTGATGGTTAAAGCTTATAACATCTTTTACAAGAGACAGATATATTACCTGCTTGCTACCTATAAAACTGTATTAGATAAGAACATGATTTGCTTTTACGAAGCTATATATCAAGCCAAAATGCTGAAAGATTCCAATAGATCTCAGCTGACTTGAGTGCAATAGAATATCTGCTGGACCTTGTTGTAAAATTGAGAACGACGGCCTTCCCGCATGCGTTCCCGACATAGTACCAAGACGCTATAGGCACGATGACGTCAGGTCTTCCCCCTCTCTAGATCATGGAGACTGTTGCCACGCATAGACCTGAGGGAATAAGAAAACAGGAGACATTATCGTATAGTGTTGAAATAAACTCAAGAAAATGGAATCTGAGGTTATGTTTTGTTACATTAGTGTTTTTATGATCTAGACTCAAGGCCTTATGCTTTCCTTCTTAATCTGGACATATTTAGGCTCGTGGTAACGTAGCATTCTACACCAACATCAGTTGCGGGGTCGAAATATCAGATCAGCATCGCTATACATATACAACTAGACCTGATGTTGCTTCGTATGGAAACTCTAAGTGAATAACCATACAATGATCGCGTTGCTGTTCCTTTTTAGCACAGCTGCGGCTGCTATCTACGGCAAACCTCTGGCCACTGTGCCGGGACAACAGGATGCAATCCCCAATTGGGACTTTCAACAATTGCATATAGTCTCCAAGAACATTGCAGCTCTTTCCGAGCCAGGCGTCGACACTTCATCCTGGCATCATGCGCCTGTATCCCGATGCACTTTGATGGGCTGCCTCTTGGCCGAAGGCACCTACGCCACAGATGGTCCTGATGGGCTCTGGTACTCTGATAACCTTGACCGATTTGACCAGAGCCCGTTCACTACTCCCTGGGTGTATCGGAACCAATTCCGCTTGTCTACATCATCAAAGCGCCATTACTTCCTTCAAACTAATGGAATTACCCCGGCTGCAGACTTGTTTCTTAATGGCAAGCAAATCGCCGACAATGTTACTCAGTCAGGCTCCTATGGCGGCCATACGTACGACATCACGGCTCTCACACGAAAGGAAAATGCACTTGTAGTCAAAGTCTATCCTACAAACTATCAAGAGCACCTAGCAGTCGGATTTGTCGATTGGAATCCTTATCCGCCTGATAATGGCACTGGAGTGTGGAGGGACATTACAATCAAGCAGACAGGCGACGTCTTTATGGGTCCTGTAAGTGTGCTTGTTGACATGGATATACCTATAAAGCAGAACAAAAACCGTGATGCGGACGTCACCGTCAAGGCTCAGGCCCGAAATCTGAGCAAAAGGCCAGTAAAATTTATCGCCAGAGCCGAGATCAGGACTCCAGACAGCAAACACCTCAAAGTTCTCACCAAAACTATTCACCTCGGTGCCAAGGCCTCTGTAACCGTTAAGCTTCCGACAAAGATCCAAGATCCACAGGTTTGGTGGCCAGCAGCTTGGGGTAAACAACCACTGTACTCGGTCCAGCTGACCTACTCTGTCGGGCAAGGCACTTCAGACATCAGTCCCCGTACCAATTTTGGCATCCGAACCGTGTCATCTGAGCTGAATGCGCACAACGACACGTTGTTCAAGGTGAATGGCCATCCAATCCAGATCAGAGGTGGCGGCTATACGTCCGACATGTTTCTACGGTGGGACTCCCAATATTTTGGACATATAGCACGCTATGTCTTAGATATGGGTATGAATGCTATCCGACTGGAAGGCAAGATGGAGCATCCCGAACTCTACGACATTGCTGACAGACTCGGTATCATGATCATCGCTGGGTGGGAGTGTTGTGATCGTTGGGAGGCTTGGCCCTACAATGATGACATTTCCCAGGATCCTCCCCGAAAATGGTCCGAGATTGACTACGAGACCGCCAACGCTTCCATAAGGCACGAGGCGGCCATGATGCAAACCCATCCAAGTATGATTGCCTTCCTCGTGGGCAGCGACTATTGGCCCGATGATCGGGCCACAGCGATATACCTTGGGGGCTTACATGATGCTGGATGGCAAGTTCCCGTCATCTCCTCAGCTGCGAAGCGTGGTTATCCAAAGGCCCTTGGCCCCTCCGGAATGAAGATGGACGGGCCTTATGATTGGGTTCCGCCCGTCTATTGGTTTGACAGAGAACCAACAGACAACAGGTCTGGCTCCTCTTTTGGGTTCGGAAGCGAGCTAGGCGCTGGCGTTGGAACGCCTACTAAGGGAAGTCTCACTCGGTTTTTGACGGACAAGGACATGGAGGACTTGTGGAAGAAGCCAAACAAGGGCCTCTATCACATGTCACAGAATACATCACAGTTCTACGATCGGTCCATCTACAACAAGGCCCTGTTTACGAGGTACGGCAAGCCTACATCTCTGGACGACTACCTGATGAAGGCGCAGATGATGGACTATGAAGCGACACGTTCTGAGTTCGAGGGTTGGGCAAGCCAATGGAGCGCTTCACGTCCGGCCACTGGTCTGATCTACTGGATGCTGAACAACGCCTGGCCGGGTCTCCATTGGAACCAATTTGACTACTATCTCCACCCTGCTGGGTCGTATTTTGGCACCAAGATTGCCAATCGCGTTGAGCACGTAGCTTTCGATTACTTCAAAAGCTTTGTCTGGATCATCAATCAGTCGCTTGATCATTCTGGTCCGCGCTCCGTTCATGTCGACTTGGTGGATTTGAAGGGGAACCATCTATCTCAACAGAAGCTTCACTTCACCACAAAGCCGAATAAATCTCAAAAGGTTGGCGATATAAGCAGCTCCATCAAGAGGATTAAGGACGTTGGTGTGCTTCGCCTGCTTCTAGTTGACGATGATACTGGGAAGGTCCTCAGCCGAAACGGGTACTGGGTATCCAAACAGAAGGATATAGTAGACTGGACCACCACGTCATGGTATTCTGTCGACTCTAAACAATCTGCCAATTTCACTGCGTTGAACACGATGGACCAAGCAAATATCACAGTGTCAGCCTCCAAAGAAAAGCTTTCTGGAGGTTGGGAGCTCCAACTTGAGAATACTGCTACAGTCCCCGCAGTGTTTGTCCAGCTCAACCTGGTAGATAAGCGCGGCAACGATGTGACTCCGTTGACCTGGTCGGACAACTATTTCACTCTGCTTCCCCGCGAGTCGATTGAAGTCAAACTCACTGACTGGTCGGGCAAAGGTGCTACAATACAAGTCGATGGCAAGAATGTGAAAAGGTCTTGGATCAGATTGGGCTGAGCATTGACTGGAAATGGATAGCAGATGGTGCCTATATGAGATAGTACTTAGAGCGTAATTCTGGGATAGTCCTTATCTCTCTTTAGTTGAGCTCCAGATACGCAGTTAAGTACAAGACATATCTTAGCTAGAGTTGCTCGCACGATTGAACCATTCTTCATACAGTTCAATGTATGTTTCCTTGACACCAGAAGCCCACCACCACTGGGCCTCACTCTTGGGGCATCCTACAAACTGCATAAGATATTTCTTTGTTCTATACCCTTGATCCATCTTGAGATCCTTTTCTTTAATAATCGGAGAAGATGGACAATGTGTGAAGGTAATTCTGTCGCGTTCTGACGACCTCCTTGCTTTTCCCAGTACGAAAGCGATTTCTGCTCATTCTTCAGGTTGATATCGCGTTCAGTGAACCAATGAACCAGAGTATGGCGGGAGTTGGGCTTCTTGAACTCGACCCTGAGGAGGACGTATGGACCTTGGACAGTGGGCTTTACCGTGATGATCTCAACGTCGTCCCGTGTTTCCGTTTTGTGGTCTATGATTTTCCATTCGACCCCGTCATCTAGAACTGATTGTGTTAAACGAAAGTAGAAGAAGGCTTATAGCAGAATGTAACTTACTGAGAGCCGGGGAAACATCCCGAATCCTCTGCGTGATTGTCTGCGAGACTGTGGCAGACTCTTTAGTGCCGTTGTTTGGCATGGCTTCGAGTTACCTTGGGGATACAGAAGGAACAATAACAAGTTGTCGCAAGACAATAGATAAATTGACAATAACACATTAAGAGATTAGATGAGCTAAGCTAGGAAGAGGCTTCATTTATGTCTTTTATACTCCATCTCGCAGCGCGACTAATGCATGGACATGCGATGCTTGGAGCAGCGAGGCACAGGGAATGCCTACTAGGATAACTGTACCTGCCCGGCGGTGAGATACCAGCATGTATAACACTGCAGTGATCTGGAGTATCATACATGGCGATTGCCAATAGAAGGTCTTATAGACAGTTCTCAGGCGCTGAGTTTTACAGGGTTAATTTGTTGCCGCAAATTACATAGTCAGGTAAGCGACATATACTAGGGTCGGAATTAGATGGTGACACAAGCTTGGGAACCCGTCGGACTTTTGTCTGTTGTTGGCAACGCGCAAATCTCTTAAGTTCAATGATCGGGAACCACCTAACAGGGGCTTGTTAAGGCTCGAGTGACTGATGAGTGCCTTACTTGTCGTTCCCAACTTGGAGAATAAGGCGATGCCAACTCAATTGTCATTCACGCCGTGATGGATGGGCTTGCAGTCATGGGCCATCAGCTCGCGTGTCTTGAATCTAATATTGAGAGCAGTACTGGACACACAGCAACCGCTGAAAGTGAGTTGAACGAACAAGTTAAGACTAGATCTTAAGGGAAAGCAGCAATCTAGCATACTCTGCCTGCCTTCCAAGATTGAGATACTCCCTGCGTCCTTCTTGACAAGATACGTAGGGCTTCTTAAAAATAGACCGAATTGAGAGTCCTAGTATATGACAAAGCTATGTACTGTATTCGTTGAAAGCTCCCTATTCGTGATGTTGATAAAGGCACAAACGAGTCAAAAATGTGGCTTGCACTAATCACGTCACTACCAGATAAACCCCTCAAGATAAACAGAGAAGGATCTACATCCTGTCCTCTCGGCAACAAGGGATTAAAAAACCAAATGCTGAACAATTCACTGTGAGAAGTAATTGAGGGTTTGAGAAAAAGCAAAAGTGCCTTTTCAATGAATGATTTGTAGGTTATGCTGTCTCAGCTCAATTTTCGCATCTGGTTTCTCAGCCAAGCCAATAGTGCTCTGTTATAGCGCAGCCACCTTATTTTTTAGCGCCCGTAAATCACCCGAGAGGCCCCTGTCGCTCTGGAGACCCGAGAACCTTATCGTGTTGCTTCTGTCTCCTTGCATACACGATGACGAGCATTTGTTGTTGGGCCAATCTCAACAGATGCAGCTGCTCAGATGGGGGAATACGTTGGTTATAATAATACCTTGAAGTGAGTTTGTCGTTGGCTCAATTGCGCATTCTTATTCTTCTTTATCATTTTATCTCCTGTGTTCTTCGACATAGATATTCACAATGCGCAGTCTCGCAGTCCTGGCTTCTTTATGCCGTCTAACCTCCGCACTATCGATCCCTGTTTACGCGGAAAAAAGAGACATTTCAGCTGGGGTTGCTATTTATAGCTGCACACAGCCAAACACCATTGCTCTCACCTTTGACGACGGCCCATACGTGTACACAGATTCCGTGCTCGATCAGCTTGCTTCAGCAGGAATTGCGGCCACGTTCTTCCTCAATGGGTACAACATTGGGAATATCATGGACTACCAAGCCACTGTCAACAGGATGATTGAAGAGGGACACCAAGTCGCGTCGCATACGTATGTACAGAGCATCAACCCAATGAGATTGTAGTTACTGATTATATGTAGCTATGGGCATCCAGATCTCGCAGGCCTTGCAGATTTCGACGTCGAGCAGCAGATGTCGCTGCTGAGCAATGACTTCATCAACATCATCGGCAAGTATCCTGTTTACATGCGTCCTCCCTATTTTAGCTTCAACGCTCGCACTCTTGGAGTCCTTGGTCAATTGGGCTTCAAGGTTATTATCGCTGATATCGACACCAACGATTGGCAGTACTCGTCATCCGGTGGTGCCGAACCCTCTTTAGCTTCATTCTACGCTGGGCTTAACAATGGCGGTTCCATTGTTCTTATGCATGGCGTTCATCAGAATACTGTTCAGAACATCCTGCCTCGAATTATTCAGGCTACTCTTCAAAGTGGAAAGAGAGGTAAGCTGTGGGTGTCTTGTTTTAAGATGTGTCTTACTAATTGTTGTTTAGCTGTGACCGTGGGAGAATGTCTTGGAGATCCCGAGACAAACTGGTACCGAGGTGGAGCAAGTCAGACACCAGAATGGAATGACACAGATACTGTAGTCGTCCCCGTCCCCGTTAGTCAGACGCCTGCACCTGAGGGAGCGGTGGTTTGGGAGTAGTTGTGTTGGATATTTTTGGAAATCATCATACAGTTATAATAAAAGACGCAAGTCGCGACACTCATTTCAAGTTAAATCTTATTTCACTTCTACTCACAGTCCCAACTTGCTGTTAGCCATCTCGCGGACCTCCTTCTGACCCTGTGTCAAACCCTCCTCTTCCGGATCAAGTCTTTTAAGACCCATTGCCTGGAGACCTGCATTGGTAAGAATGTTCTCGACCCTGGCTCCGCAATCTTCATGGTCGTATTCCCGCTCCCAGGTACCATGCGATCGTGTAAAGTCAATTGGAACGTCTCCTTTCTGGAAGGCCTCCCGGGTTGCGAGCAAAGACTCAATGTTATAGGGTGTCAGCGGATTGCATGCGTTGTATGAGACGCTTGAATCGACAAGCCCAGGGTTCGTGGGATCCACACCATGGACCAGGTCACAGTGCCAGAAGACATAATCACCGGGTCGAACTGGAGGAATACCCACTATTGCTCGCTTGATGTCGAGGTCCGGATGGCCCTCAACTGTTGGGAAGAACTGAGTTTGACCTGGAGTGGCCCCGGGAAACGTAGGCAGGGAATCATTGTACTCTCCAGTATGGAACAGAGGCCGCAGCATGATATACGCCATGGACAGCTTCAGGCTGGGCAGTACTCGTAGTGTCCCTTCGCCAGTCTGCGTGCTCGAAAGGGACAACCATCCTTGAAGGCTTCTCCATACTGAGCATGCCGTTCCTGAATGATAAAGATCACTCTGGGCTTTGACACGGTGGTCTGCAGACCATGCATCCCAGTCTTGCCAGCTGCCTTCGAAAATAGCGGCGTAATTCTTTCGATTCTCTTCATCTTCCCATCGTTCAATCGCCCCGCTGTCCATATGAGGATCAAGTGGGAATTGTCCAGGATCATTGCTAGGATACCGGATGCGAATTCGGTCAGGGTAGATGACCTGACTGTCGAGGTCAATGGGAGTTGTTGGGTCTGATACGTGCCATAATCTGGAGACGCATTTCATGGCTTCCAAGACTCTTGGGTGGGTTCGCATCTCCATCTGTGCTTTGGTCCAGAACACGTTCCAGGCTGCTGGCTTATGATGGGGATGACCGCCTACGCCTGGATGACGCTTGGTGTAGTCCTTAAGAGACGTCTCCCAACTGACCGCTTGCTCTTCGCTGACGACATTTCGAAGGATCAGACAGCCTCGTTCATGCACCAGCTTCATGAAGTCATCAGGAAGATTGCCACCTAAGCAAGTTAGAATATGACCTCTTCAAGCATGTCAAGTCATTTGTCAAGAAATCACATACCGTTCTTTCGAACGTCGTCGAAGTCAATTTCTGGGACCAGAGCTGCTCCATGCTTGTCGATGTGATCGACTTCCTTGCGTAGAATCTTGACCAGACGCTCATATGACTCAATCACCTTCTGCTTGTTCTCAGGCTTAACGAGTGACTTCTTAAGAGCAGCAAAGCGCTGATCCAGCAGGTCGCATCTATTTGTCAATGTTAGTTGAGTCCATCAGACTTCATGGCGTGCCAAAGCATATTTAGACGTACTCAAGCACAAGTTGCTGCGAAACCTCTTGCTGCTCTGTTTGAGTATAAGACATTTTGCTCAAGACGTATAAATACCAAAGTGAACCAGAGGGCTTTTCGTTTAGGAACGGGAAGTGACTTGATGAAATCAACAATATGAGGCAGAAAGGAAGCGATATGGTTTGATGGAACTTAGTATATAAGAGCAAATTAACAAGGCCTGATCCAAAACTCCAACCGGCTATCATTCATTGTCACCCGGTCGTGAAAGAGGCTATCAAGGTTAGTCTGTACTCGGCTACCCGCGAATTCTGTTGCAAATTGAGGGCGCATTTCATGGTCTCGGTGAATTAGCCGATCGCAGAATTGGCCAGGCCTGATCCACCCCCTAACCAGATCCAGTTGGCGCGATGTTGCAGCTCAATTAAGCGACCAAGAAGCTGAAAATGCCGATCGCGTTGACGAACTTACCCGATACCAGCTGAATTACTTCGACCATTAGCAGAGAAAGGGAATCTGCTGCTTTAGGCCGAGCTGTACCCAGTCAAACAAAGCAAAATCATAATGATACCTATTAATGCGCTCGATACTCTAACGAATTTTCACGAATTCAAGTTTTACGGCTTACCCTCTCGAGATCCATTCAACTGCTGCATTGTTTTTGCATCATGACTACCCAAACATTCGACGTTAACAAGCCTGAAACATGGCATTTGGCAGCGACCATTGACAATGAGCTACAAAATGTCAGTCAAAATTGTCCATACCGGCTATCAATACTTGTAACCACTAACAAGAATTGTGTAGATGATCAAAAATGGAGCAAAGGGGAGGTTCACTGGTGATACCGAGCATTTGACGCTAGCGCAAACGCGAGCCAAGTTTGACAGTCTCTTCCAGCAGGATGCCGATATTCTTCGCTCCAAAATGCAAGATGAGGTGTCTGAGACGGAGATTCATATTCCTGTCAGGGACGGATTCAGAGTCCGAGCGCTTGTCTATCGTCGCAAGACTGACCAGGCAAAGATGGACCGCGCTCTTGTTGTGCTTATTCATGGCGGAGGCTTCATCCTGGGCAACGCCGAGATGGAGATGCCGACCTGCGTTGAAGCAGTCCGAAGATACGATTGTGTCGCTGTGAGTTTGGAGTATCGGCTTTCTCCAGAAGTCAAGTTCCCTGTTGCATATGACGATTGCTGGGACGCTCTCATATGGGTACGTCAATTGTTCCAAGGAGACTTCCATCGCTAAACGTGAACTATAACAGCTATCTAAGAATGCAGCCACTCTCCATGCTGACCCAACAAGTGGCTTTGTCTTTGGTGGGACTTCAGCTGGTTCACATCTCAGCATCCCCTTGGCTCACAAAGCTCGGGACCACAAGCTCTCACCTCCACTCACTGGGCTTTACCATTGTGTGCCGCCTGCTCTGATGCCACAAGCACTTACTGACAGGTATAAACCTCTCTACAACAGCAGAGAACAGCTGAAAAATGGTATGGCGCTCACTGCAGAGTCTACAAAGGTATATGACAAGGCTGTCGAACCAGACTTTGCTTCACCACTTTGGAACCCGCTTCTTTGGCCAACAGGACACCGAGGCTTACCCCCTACGTTCTTTCAGATCTGTGGGGCTGATCTGTTGAGGGATGAGGCTTTGATCTATGAGAGGGAGCTTCGGCTTGAAAGTGGGGTTCGAACTAAGACGGTTGTGTACGAGGGGTTGCCGCATGTATTTTGGTATGATTACCCGACTCATAGTGCAAGCGCTAGGTTTGCCCAGGATGCGGCTGCTGGTTTGGGATGGCTACTTGGTCGAGAGAAATAGTTTACTGTTCCCTTGTTACGTATTACAGTTATTGAAGCATTTATTGAGATGATGTATGCGTACTGTGAGACTCACCAACTAATCCTGTCTGGAAAGGATGAGAGATGGAGGTACTTGTAGACTCTTGAGACCTGTAGCCCAGAGTTAATACGCACGGGAAAGAACTCAGTTGGCTTCAAACGGTTATCAAATGCAATAGGTTCTCGTATGTTGTCAAGGACATGAACAGCGGGCAGAGAGGTGCGGATGTAAACTCGGAGTTGCAAGGTAGTGCTTTTTGCCCTATCTATACTAGGTCACTGCAACATCGGTGGAACTCATTGCATTGCAACATGGGCAACGTTTTTCAGGCTTTATAAGAGCAGCCCAATATATAATGTATAAGCTAGTGCAGATGAACACATTCAGTTGTCGAGGGTATCGATGGAGCCGTCAACATTGAGGGCTAAGCTTCAGCCGAAAAAGGCTCATCCGAGGCCGAGCGCGCAATAGAGACTGATCGATCCTTTCCGTCTTGATCCTTTGTCACAATTCCATCTTCACGAACATCGGCGACTCCATGGCCGTTGTAAACAACCCCTTCAAACAACTCGTCAATCTCCTCAAGAGATAGACCTTTTGTCTCGACCCAAAATACAGCAACGAAAATGGTCTCAAGGACATCCCAAGCTCCAATGATGAAGTAGAGACGCCAGGAGATAGCCTCCAGCGCAATGGGGAACACAAGAGTGGTTCCAATGCTATATGTACTGTTAGCATGTCTGAAGACACGATCGACTTGACGGAGATCTTACGCGAATATCGCGATTGTTCCGGCCCAGATAGCCATTCCGTTGGTACGGATAGAGTAACTCAGAACCTCTGGAGGGTACAGTTGCGTGATGGGAGTGATGCCAACACTGTATGCACCCATGAAGAGGAAGATACAGGCAACAGTCCCATAGATACCCGCGAGGTCTTGACTCGTACTGAAAGCTGGGAAAGTGTTAGTTAGAGTAGATTTCAAGGCTCTAGGTCGGCTTACTTTTTGTCAATGCGCCGATAACAAACATCAAGATAGTCATTCCGACGCAAGCTGAGAGGCAGAGCGTCTTTCGACCAGCTCTGTCCATGAGAAATGTTCCAATCATTGCACAGATAAGGCACCAAGACTGTAGTACAATGTTCTGTACATAGTTAGCAACAGATACTATTATTGGGGTTTGGTGACATACGATTTGGAGCTGCGTGGTCTTGTTGGTGATGCCAGCGTTCGTGAGCATGTCACCAAGGAAAAACGATGCGATGTTATTTCCTAATGCGGTTAGTATCCATAGTCTCTTAGGATGCCGATACGGGGCTTACCGCTTGCCATGACGATGACAGCTACAGAAACCGCAAGCATGAGTCGTCTTCGAGCGGATCGAGTCTTGAACAGCTCAGTATATGATGCCGTCTTGCCTTCAGTTCGCTCTTTTTCTCTGCTATCAACCACACTCTGATACTGCTGACGAACCTCCTCGTCTGACTGGTCCCCGTTAGCCGCAATTGACGCTATGACTTGGAGAGCTTCATCCATCATATCTTGGTGGGAAAGCCATCGAGGCGATTCGGGAGTTAGGAAGAGGCAAAAGATGCAGATCAGGGAAAACATGCTCTGTAAGAGAATAGGAAGGCGCCAGGACCATTCGCCAGGAATCTCGGCAGTGCGATAGGTAATGCCTGCGGAGATCAAGGCACCGACGTAGTAGACGGAGAACGTAATGCTTAGACCGAGCCCGCGAATATTGGGTGGAAGAGTTTCGGCGAGCCAACTGCAGTAAAGAGAGTTAGCCAAAGATAAAGGGCTTGCAAGATAGAGGGGCCTCTTACGTTGAACCAGCAATGCTGGAAAGTCCAGAAGCTACACCCAGGATAATGCGACCAGAAAGAAACATCGCAAAGTTCTGAGAACCAGCAACCAATCCAATACTGAAAAGCTTGGTCAAGAGAGCCACCAAAATGGAGTTCTTGCGACCAATCGCGTTGACGACAGGGCCCATGGTCAGGGATGCAATGCCCCATCCAATAAAGTTGGCAGACACGTTCAAGGCGCGGGTGGTGGTGTTGAGGTTTAGAAACTCAGTGTAGGAGGGAATGATGTTGATTCCGCTCATGAGTGCCGAGTCGTAACCAGCCGTCGTTGCGTAGACTGCTGCGCTTGCGACGAGGAGCATGACCGTAAGGCGACTTGATTTGGGCTGGAAGGGTCCGATGACACCGGTTGGGGACCACATGACGATGGCAGTTGGGGTAATGTTAGAGTAGAAGCAGAGGTTAGGGGAAAAGAAAGGTCTTGAGAGTCGGAATGGAGGACATTGAAGCCGTTCGATCATGAAGCTTAAGTATCAAATGACGCCTAGATAGCACAGAGAGGCGAAAACGCCACAATCTTGAGGCTAAGCGCCTTACCAATGGTTGCTTCCTTATTGGGACTGGCGATATCTCTCCCTAGCCTGTATATCTCATCCCGAGATTCTGGTTACTGGGGAGTCTGGAGTTCAGAATGCGGGGAGAAGGCAAATGTGGAGGGATGGTCTAGATTTTGAAAATTTCGATAAGCTAAAATCTCGTCGGGTAATTCAAGACAAGAATAAGCCACAACTTGGTGCCGATCGGCAATTTCATCAATTTCTACGTTGCTATCTTATCAACAGCCCTGGCAGAGCAGAAATCGCGGAAAGGACTTGACGCGAAACACTTCGAAATAGCCAACCGTCCTTTCATCCAATGGCCGACTTCCTACAGCAACACGTATAGCTTGATAAGCCTGCCGATAGTTCTCCCCATGGGACGCAAGCTCGCTAAACCTATCCATGACCCAAGATCTATGTATTATATCATCTGACTCGATTGCCACCACGAACAATGGCCAGCCTAGCCGGGTCAAACCTGGCTCTCCTTGATCTCGATAGACCTTAAAGGCTAGTGACATGATCTCTTTCATTGCTTCGCGCTGCTCTGGTGCCATTGGTTCTTGTCCGTGGGTGATTCGAAGAAAGCAGACATATATGGCGTAAAAGCAGGAAATGACCGATTGCATCTCCATCACGAACCGTCTATGGGGTCCGTCGTCGGGAAGTTCGAGGCGGTTAGCCACGCTTATCAACTCTCCATATCTGGATCTGACATTTTGAATGGCACCTGCAACAGACTGTCTCCACGAACCGTGGGGGACGTTGTCCCGATGCTCGGCTGTAGCTAAAGAACCGACCATGAACTTCAGCTGAGCGCACTCGGCGTCGAAACATGATAGGTCACTACACTGCATGTCCTCCAGTAGCTCAGTCTGGGGGTATGATCTTCCCCACAGGTCGTAGTTGGCAAGGACTGATCGCTTTTGCAATTGCCTGACGCGTTGCAAGCGACCTTGCGCTTCAGTCTCTGATATGTCTACTGAGGAGGTCCCCAGGAGATTGTTGAAGTACCCGCCAAACCCATTTAGAACAGCACCTCCATCCGCGTGCGAGAGCCAGACGAGGATTCTGCAGGAGACAGGACAGAAATTCTCAGGCTCAATGATCTGTGAGGTATGAGGGTCAACGTTGTCGCTGCTGGCAAGTCTCGAGCGCCCCAGTAATATCGAGGTGGCACCTCTCAGGTGCGCATCAACGCCAATACCGCACCCATCCCCAAACCTAAGTTCATACAAGAGCATGAGCCATAGTGTAGCCAGGACGGGTGGAAGATAGGTTATCTCGCTAGGGATCTGTGTAGCCACAGCTAGCATCTGTAAACCATCTCTATAGTGTTGGATAGCTCTTAATCGTCTGGATTCGGCATCTGACTTGGAGCCGCTTGTCTTCTCAGACCATGTTTGTCCACTGACGGCGCAGACCATGTGAAGAACCATGGGACTCTGCTGCGCCAACTTCCAGACCAGCCCAGGGCCGCTGTGCATCGATATCCGTGTGCCAACCATTCCTGGGAGGACAAATCGGAAGAAGTGGATTGCCGAGTGATCGGAAGGGGACAGGATAGCGGCACAGTCGGGTGAGAGGTCAAGTGCCAGGCCATCGTCGGCAATGGTATTCAGTGGTGGTAGGTTGACATCTGCACTCTGAGTATCGGATAAGGATCCGCTACCAAACTCCCCAGGATACGAATTATCACCACGGCCTGTGAGACTGTCGCTAGGTGTTGACGCCGCATCTGTACTGGCGATCAGGTTTGCAGGGGATGATGCAGCAGGGGACGCGATAACGCGCCTGGTGTACTTTTTGCGAGGGATGCGCGTATAATCACAGGTCAATTCCAGGCGGATACATCGTCGGCAAATCGGTCGCGTCTCGTCGCATTTGACCTTTTTGACGCGGCATGTTTGGCATCCGCCTCGTGAACGTTGGGTACTCGGTTGCTGTTGGAGTTGGAATTGCAGATGAGATCCAGACAAGGGTAGCGACTCGTGGCTGGGGCTTGGAGAACCCATGTAAGATTCGGGGTTGTGTTGGTCGCCTATTTCTGAATCTGTCGCGGTGCAGGAATTGAGGAATCAAGAGCGAAAATTGTGGAGTGAAAATGCGAGGGGGCTGGTTTGTTTTAGCTCGGCATTTTGAAGAGAGTAGGAAGCCACTGACTCATTGAGCTTGTCCATAGTTGAACACCCGCTAGCTTGGCTTACCAAATTGGTTAAGGGAGAAGCCATCACTCTACTGGTCATGACTTTATCAATAAGCACTCTTCACTCTTACTACGCCGCAGGCTGGCTATTATGGGAATGGCGATTATGGAATGGTTTGGCATAATTGTAAGAAACAAGAAGTTCTCGTTATTTTCTGCGTAGACATACTATCCTAAAAGCTATTCACCGATACACCAACAACCGCTTCATCCATGCTTGAGAGCATCTACCTGTCGAAAACCCAAAGGGGGCTAATATACAGGAATCTTGAAAGCATTGAAGCTGTATGTAAAACTCTCGATTGACTTCTTGTCATTGACACACCCAAAGCTCTTGTCGTTCTTCCAAAGAGGTCGCTTCGGCCACTGACACAACATCTGCGTCTCTCCCTTATAATCGCCCGAAGAGACAGTAGCATTAAGTCTCGACGGCTGCTTGCCATTCTCAACCCAGTCGATCATAATGTTCATGTTGTTCTGAGGATAAGGCCCAGGTTGAAGAGAGTTCGTGCCGCAGTGAGCTGCTCCTGGCACGAGATAGAACTGGTACCATTCTGAAAGAGCCTTCTGGGCCTTCTCATCTGACAGCTTTGGATACATGATGGATCGGACAGACTGCCAGTAGTGAACAGAGGAACCTGCTGGGATACTAGGATCGGATTCGCCATGATAGTGGAGGAGCTTGCCACCAGCTTCCTTGAAGGTTGTGAGATCGGGATGAGTGGTCTGCAGACTATCGTAGTAGCGGGCCATACCAGTGTTCATCCAGTCAACTAGAGTATCATGCGTGACATTGTTGAGGTTATCGAGGCTATCGAGATCAAGAAGCTCAATAAACTTTGCAACGTACATGCCACCAGTAGAGGGGATGTTCAGAGTCCACTTGTCGGTTTCGTTGTCGTAAGTTGGCTCACCATCAGATAGCTCAGAGCCAATCTGCCAAGACAGGTACGCTCTTTCGTCTTTGCTGTTGAAAACACCATCGTAGATAGCTTGAGCAACAGCAACACCCTCAGCAGTAATAGTACCATTCTGTTCTGGTGCATTGCTCGTCTGGCTGCCGGGAGCCTGTCTCTTGCTGAACCCAAAGCCAAGTGAAGAACTAGTCTCAGCTGCGCAGTAGTAATCATTTCCGACGAGTGACTTGAGGTTGAAGTGGATTTTGCAAAGATCCGTTCGGGAGATGACACCATCCTTCCTTCCATCGAGATCATCGCAGGCTTCGATAGTGGCGTTGACGATCTTCTTGAGCTCACAGGGAGGGGGGTAATAGTCAAGTGTGTGCTCAACGGCGGCAGGGTAGACGTGCAGGACCTGTTGCTGAGCGAAGCGAAAAGCAGGGGCTCCAGCGATGACACCGTCATACTCGTCACCCCATCGTTGAACCTGGCTCATTCCCTCTCGACCGCCATCCGAGCAGCCCTCATAATAAGTATAGACCTTGCTCGAGCCAGACATGGCATAAAGGTTCTTGGTGATATACTTTCCGATCTGGGTCATCTCGCCGAGAGCTTGGTATGAGAACATGTATGTCGCATCCCAGTTGATGGAACCGTTGCCGAGAAGGAATTTCTCATCTAGACTGTAGTTGAAGGCATCGTATCCACCATCAGTGGCTCCTGCAACGGCTCCGTACTTGAGACCGCCAGTGGTATCAGTGTTGAGAGAGTAGCCACCTCCGCCCGCGACATAGAAGCGGTTCTTGAAGTCCTCGGGATCAGGGAAGGCATACTTGAGGTTGACTGTGTCACCCTTGCTGCCGTGGGTATACGCGACAGTGACGTTACAATAGCTGTAAGTATCGGTATCACGCTTCATTGGGCCGCCTCCCATGCTGGCACTGGCGTTGTAGACCGCCGTGGACACCGTGATGGTAGTTGGGATCATATCGATTCCCAGGAGGGTTCCATTGGAGGGCAGCGCAGCTTTCAGGTTCGAGACGGTACATAGTTCCGAGAGAGAGGATGCAAGGGAGCGGGAGGATAGCAAAGCCATAACAACTCTGAAAGATTGTCGCATGATGGTAAGTTTTCTAAAGAGAGTGGGAAGTATGAGAAAGTGATGGTCAATATGAAGTACTGCACTCGACATGGCGCAATCGTTCATGGTTATATACTCCTTCGAGGACTGCGGCTTCGTCACCAACAGGTCCGAGCCCGGAATCTGCCACGCGTTGATTGTTCCATCCAACAATTTTCTACAGGGAATTCCACGAGAATGAAGTAATTGCTTGAGTCGAAACCTGGTGGCGATCCGAAATTGGTAGGGAGGCTTAGACAAAATGCCCACTTTCCGCGTGTGGAGTTGTTCCGAGCTAAAGTGGAGATGTGCTGGCAGAGTTGACATGTTGCTGTCGGAGAGCAAAAAGCTCAAGACTTAAAAAAGGGACGCTAAAATAAATTCAGAAAAGAAGCTAAGGGTAGACTTACCTGAGCTTTTGTTTTTTCCTAGGAGATACTGCTAGTAAAAAATAAAAGTAAGTTTTATCAGTAGCATAACTATAAGGCCTATAGATAATCGCATTTACTTAATCCTAGCATATTTGGAGCATGGTGCAATAGCTAGCCTTATTATAGATAATGGTAGTCAAATCGCACTTCAAAAGACGGAAAATGTAAAAGAATGTTTTCTATACCTCGAAGCTTATGACCCCGTTCTCGGTCAGCCGTCTGAACAGGCATAGCGTATAAATAAATAATGTATTATCTAGACTAATTCAATGAGCAAAGTTGGTCTTAAGTAGAAGGAGTACTGAAAGTTCCTGTATATAAGAACAGGGTTGTACAAGAAGTCACTTGCTCTTTGGAGCGTTTATCCATAAACCTGACATCAAGAGTCGAAAGACTAGTTACTCTCTTAGGCGGTTCCGGAAGCCGCTGTCTTATGTTGCTCGTGGTATTAGAGACTGAACTCATTTAAACTTATTTATCGTAGCGAGAAGCTCACCATCAGAGACCTGAAATGCCAGGAGGGTTTTCCTGGTCCTGTCTCACATAGATCAGTGAACCCTGAATGCTACATCGACTCACAAGAGCTTACGGTATCTCAGTGTAGTCTTTTCAGGTATCGCTAAAAATGGATCTTTAATACCAGCGAGCCACGTTGAGTCACTGAGGTTCTAGATGCTTGCTCTTAGCTGCTTCTGAAGTTGCTAAATCGATGGATATCGTGTTGTCATTCATTATCTGTGTTTGCAGCCTAAAGCTTAACCTTATAGGCCGCCTTCATCCATAGTTATTCCTTGGGTTCGAGGTTTGCTCAGTTAGGCAGAGTGAAGATAGGATCTCAGCTGTGTATCTTAACTGTAAACAGTATATCTTCTATAGAGGAACTAAAGAGAGTAAATATAATTATAATTATAGAGATAGTATTCGTCATTACAGAATTTATAACATTCCTATTAAAGCCAATGATTGGCTGAGAAGCTATATATAACCATAAATACGTTTTTGTAAATCAGGATCCTTGAAGCCTCTACTTATTGTTGTAGTAGTTCCTGAGGCAAGTGAAGCAAGCACGCCTCTCTTAAGGTTGACTTGTTCTTATGACCATTGTTGAAAGCTGCTGTGCAGTATACTGTATTGGTTATTAGTGGTTCGTCTAGACTTATGCAATAGCAAAACTTACTTTAGGCAGTTAGAATCTTAACATGTCCATTTAGCTGGACCTGGTTGTCCAGAGGTACCCTGAATGGCCTGGCAGGTCACCCTGCAACATTGGTTGCCTGCACCAGTGGTAGAACAGGTGCTGCCACTAATGCTGACTAAGACAGTGCTGGGGCCGCAGGCGCATCGACAGGCTGGTGGCTTTCCAGCGGGAGTTGCCATGCTGAATGATATGTACAGAGTACAGGCAACGAGGAAAGACTTGATCTGCATATTGGTGATGTTGGTGGTTGGTAATATTAGTAGGTAACGAGTTGAGAAGGTAGTTTGTGTCTGTTTCTTTAGTTCATCGAGGACACACTGCAAGCTTTTATAGATAGGCCAGATTCATATTGCTATGTCAATATAGTATCTCTGAATGATCATGGTCTAGTCTTGTTATAGATAACTGGCGTTCGTATTAACAAGCCACATACACTAAGTGAGGTTCTAGATGCTAGGGTTAACCCTTTCTGGTTATTCAAGACATGGCCTTTAATACATTACCTTGCCCTTGTGAATTGGAGCCCATTGGTATTAATCATGGCATGGACCTCTAAACGTCTATAAGAAGCATTCTAAAGACTCAGTTGATTACTCATAAGTCGATATCTGGTATTTAGCTATCTGTAATTTGTCAAATTGGCAAATGGAGAATACCCCAGAGCCACGACCCGTGACTCCAACAAGCGGTGAGGCCTCCATTTTGGCTTGGTGCACTGAAAACTACGCGATTCAGTAGGGAGCAATTGACTCCACCCATGAATGTGTCTTATCTTAGTTAAAGCAAGAGTTGTTGTCTAGATCAAATAATGGCCTCATTTAGGTCAGCCATTGTTACCTTTTCTGCCAATATATAAGATCCCAACCAACCGGAATCACTCCAGCGCTCTTTAGTATGTCACGGTACCAGTAGTTCGGGACACTGTCTTGTAAATTTGGGTCCGTGGCCATTTTCAGAGTTAGTAACTGCTAAGCCTTACGCTCTGATAGGCTGGCTAAGTTTCTGAAACTGCATAGACATTTTCAGCCAGCCACTTTCTCAACTGCGTTACATTTAGTATTTAACGGCAATAATGTTTTGGGACCGTGTCTTGTATATTTGGGTCTGGACTCATTTTCACACTGAGTGGATGCCAAGCCCAACGTTTCAATAGGACCCTGTCGGCTGCTATATGCCGCTAAAACAGGCTGGCTGGATAACCCAAACTATATGCATATTTTCAGCCAGCCATTTTGCCCACTGGTTTACATTGACTAATTTACTAACGGTATTCGTGTTCTTTTTGGCAGTATCATGAGAAGGGCTGAACGAAATCTCGATGGATTGACATTACTGCAGTGATACGCCAATATGATTGGCTACTCGGCTATCGGATTGAGGAGACGCCGGTTAAGGGCGCGAGCGACAAGTTCCTCCATCAACCCTTCGGCCTTCGTTCAGTAAAGCCACTGGGCGTTCTAGACATACGTCCAGTTGTTATTATTGGTTTCGAGTCGTTTCAGTCCGTGAGCAGGTTCTACCAACTTTTACATTCAGGGCGATTACCCCGCCATATCCAGTTATCATGCCGACACCGGAGCAAGCCTCAGGATTGAGCAACATGCAACTACCCAATGAAGACGAGGCCTTGCAAAGCATTGATCGAACAAAATACTCTTCAGTTGATGTCTTGAAGGAGGTCTGGACCGGCCTTGATCTACCCGAAACCGCTTTGACAGCTATAAGGCTCCCTGGCGAAGAAGGTCCGGCTCTTCCATCGTCATTCAAAATCGGAATCCTCGGACAAGCCTCTATCGGGCTATCTGCGCTGGCAGCTGCTCAGGTTCATGCACTACGGAACAAGGCCCCCGTTCCTACAGTCACGGTCCCGCTTGAGCATGCAGTCGTGGAGTACAAATGCGAAAGACTGTATACGGTTTCCGACGAGCTTGCTACCCCAGCAGGGGGTGCTATCGGTGGATTGCATCAGACCTCAGATGGCTACGTTCGGATCCATGACGGGTTTCCAAACCATGTTCAAGGGACCCTTGACTTGCTTGGCTTGAAACTGGGTTCGACTCGACAGCAGGTGTCTGGGCAGACTGCGGATTGGGCTAGCATTGACTTAGAGAATTGCGGAACAGCGGAGGGCAAAGTCGCGATTTATGCTCTGCGCTCATATCGTCAGTGGGATAAACTCCCTCAGTCGAGGGCCATCAGCAACTTTCCTATTAGCCTCAAGCAGGTGTCCAAGTCATCTCCTACTGGCATGCCAAGTAGGATGCAGCCAGGGAATCTCAAGTGCCTACAAGGTCTTCGGGTTGTTGAGATGAGTCGGGTGATTGCTGCTCCGTTATGCGGCAAGACTTTGGCGGCCCATGGAGCTGAGGTCATTTGGGTGACTTCACCAACACTTCCAGATCTGCCGAGGGTCGATCGGGAGTTTGGACGCGGCAAAAAGACTGTCCAGCTCGATATCCACAACCCTGAAGATCGAAAGCAACTGTTTAACCTTCTCAAAGACTGCGATGTGTTTGTCCAAGGTTATCGACCCGGGAGTCTTGCCTCATATGGTCTATCTCAAGATGATTTGACAAAGATCAATCCAAACATCATCGTAGCCAACATGTCTGCTTTCGGTCCTGAGGGTCCATGGTCAGGCCGTCGAGGTTTTGACTCGCTTGTGCAGACATGCTCAGGCATGAATGTCTCTGAAGCTGAACACGCTGGAAAGGGAGAACCTGCTCGCCCGACACCTTGCCAAGCCCTCGATCATTCAGGCGGATACATGCTTTCAGTTGGTGTCATGGCTGCTGTCTATCATCGTGCCGTCAACGGCGGTTCGTGGAAGGTAGATGTCTCGTTGGCGGGCATGATGAAGTATTTGAGAAGCCTGGGACAGTATCCTGGTGCCACTGGTTTTGAAGCAAGAGACTTTGAAAAGCCAGAAGATGTGCCTGAGGAGTATTTCGAGGTTCAGGAGACAGGCTTTGGCACAATGAAGTCTATTAGGCACAGTGCTACTATCGAAGGTCTAGAGGTTGGCTGGGATATCATGCCCAAACCGCTTGGCTCTGATCAGCCATCATGGGACTAGAATAGTATCGTTAGTCACTCATCGCTCAACAACATGTCCTTTGCTTCCCACGGTTGACTCATGTAGTGTGTATGAGCAAGTTGGAGGACAAAGTAAGAAGTTATATTCAAAGAAATTGTCATGGCGCATGACCCTTTTTGTTATTGACTGAGCATACTCATTAGCACTAATCACTTAGATCTGTGGTCCAATGGCTTGATGAATGACAATGATACAACACCTAGGCAGAAAGGGAAGCTTGGATTGAATATGTAGACAAAATATGAAGCATTTATGTCATAATTTACAAAATATCCTCCCAGTAAACAGTCTGCCCATTCAAGTCTTTTGGTATTCCTGTTTCTACTAGTTTCGCAAAGGCAGCAGCTGGCTCTTCTGGTTTCAGCAACCTTCCTTCGGCCTTGAGCGCATCAAGGAATTTTTGCAACTCGGGAGAGGCAGTGCCTAAGAGAAGATTAGTGACTATTCTAAATGATTGGTCTGTCTGTTGTATGGTGTACCTTCTTCACGCAATCCCGTTTGCATTTCTGTATCAACTGCGCCTGGAGTGATAGCCATAGAGCTGATCCTGGAATCTTCTAATGGAATACACCGGCATAGATAATTAAGGACTGCCTTTGAGGATGCATAGCATGTCCATGACTCGCAGGGGCTTTGACTAACCCGGGATGAAGTCACGATTACGCTGCCGCTGCTTTCCTGAAGATGATGCCAAGCCACTTGTAGCTAAGGAAGGTGAGTCAGTATTACTCTAGTGTTTTTGAGTTGGATTCATAAGCATACCATATGTATAATGGAAAAGAAATTGATGTTGAAAGCATGCTTCCAGCTTTCCAGACTCAGAGTCGGGAATGCTCCCAGTGGCCGAAACGTGGCTGCATTGAGGATGAGCGTTGTAAGCCTACCCCCATGCCTAATCGCCGTCTCGACTGCCTGGATGTTGGTGTTCTCTTGAGAGACATCTCCAACAACGATGTGCAATTTCTGTGGATAGTCGCCCTGTATCAATTCCAGCTTCTCGGCCTTCAGGTCGACTGCAACTACATGAGAAACTGTGGGTGAGTTCAAGAGCTTTTTGACGATTTCAAGCCCAATTCCGTTTCCAGCACCTGTCACAACACTAAGATTCATATGTTAAACAGTTTCGCCCCAGGCGGGGTGACAGCGTACATTACTTTATCAGTCATAACGAGATCGTGTTTGAGGCGAGTTGTAGATAGTGATTGTTGATAACTATTCGTTAGATTGATGCAGTTATCTGTAGCTCTATTGCCTACTTATCTATTGACTCGACTCCAGCAACTCTATATCCCAGCCCCCACGTGTGACAAACACAAGTCTGGCAGCATATTACGCTCGCCACCGCGGACCCCGATGTGTAGCACCAGAAGTGGATTGTGGACCCACCACAGTTCCATTTCCGAAGCCGTGTGATCTTCAGTGCAAGTTCGGCCGGTGCCAAGAACGCCTCGGTGAAACAGACTAGAACGGGTCAGTATTACAATAGCCCGAGTCACTGAGACATTCGTCAGAAGGGGGGAAGCTTCCTGATAACTTTGAATGCTATGCGGTCACTAATGCTTGGCAGGTCACGAATTTGCAGTGTGCATTATGTTTGTATAATTATTCGATTAGATTAAATTGAAAGCGATATGCTTCATACCAAGTCCCTCCGGGTATGAGAGCATCTTTGCCTTGACAGGTCCAATATACTTGGATCGAAAATCTTGAAACTTCCATACGTCATAATGCTGCTGAGTACTCTGCCATCCAACTACCAAGACAGACAATATACTCTGAGCAGTTGGGCTTTCCCGGTGGGGTACCACGGGGCGCGTATCCCATGTGCTCATGACCCAGTACGACGGTGCCAGCTCCTTTGGTAACTTGTTCAGTACAGCTTCTCTCATCGTACTCAGAACCTCTCTGACACCGGCATCATCGTCGACAGACAGGCCAGCCACAAACGGCATCGTTGTGAGATCCACGATCGGAGTCGCATTGATACCTCCGACGGAGGAAAGTGTAGGCGTAAGGATCGTTCTGAGCTTGACGATTGCTGGGATAGGGCAAGCTAAGTTCTCGAGCTCATCTACAGAGACGGTTGAATCCTCATTTGACCATTCTAGATTTGAGCCGAACCATAGTCCGTTAGCTTATGAACTGAGATGGCTCTATACCGAGGAAGAAACTGTTCATGATGTGTGAATAGGAGTCTACAACTCACCGATAACCCAAACCAGCGCGTTTCTATCCTCCTCTGTACGCCCCCAAGCCGACCAGTTGTATCCATCTTGAAGCTTCGCTTCGTTGAATAGGTTCAAGATTCGCTGCCCCTTCGGGTCTTGGATACTTTCGGGCTTCACCTCCTCAGGGAGATGAAAGTATATAAATTCTGTAATGACTTTGTTCGCATCCATATTGAAAGGCTCTGTAAGCGCCTTGTTGGAAATCTGTCTTGGGTTTAGAAATAGATCCAGATATCCAGCGTTCTAAAATAAGACATTAGCAGTGAGGCGAGGAAAAAGAATAATGCGCTGATCTTTGAACCCCGGAATGAGCAAACCGGGCTGCCGGAGGAGGGAGAGGCACACCGGATTACCGGGCGGATCAAAGCGTGAGGGGTTCCACCACTTGTCCGACGCTGGCTGTGTTTTAGGACCATTCTCCTAATTTAGTGTCGCTAAGACCTTTGGAGCAGTTGATTGGACACGCGATTGCATATGCGTCTGGGATAACTGTAGGCTACTGAACATAACGATGATCTGGTTGTGCTGAGAAGGACGAAGACGTATCTACAATCAGAATACATGTGTTTATTCTATTATAAGGCAATACGTTGTGTCGAGTGATAAGGTTCTTCTAGTAAGCCAATCTAAGTAATATACTAGCTACCTAATATAATTACCTAAGATAAGCTTTATAAGCTTATTTAATAATAATAATATTTAATATAAAAAGAGAACTCTAAATACTTCCTTAAGGGACAAAATAGCCCAGTCCCTATTTTAGGTCATTATTAGAAATACTCGTAGGAGGAAAGGTTGAATCAAGGTTGGGGAATATTGAGTCACAAGCTGGCGAAAGATCGGTCATAGCAAAGTAATTCTAACACAATTAAATGTGTTCAAGCTGAGGCTAAACGAATTCTTATAAACAAGAAGAACTAGGGATTGATACAGACTTGCAAAGGTTTACAAAGTTAAAGGAATGTTATAGCCCACCACTAGGCCAGTACTCTTCCACCACTACTGATAACCCCCTTGTACGTTGCAACCTTAATAGATGTAGCGAAAATGCAAGTTGGACACATCAGTCATGTCGTCCACGTAGGCATTGTCAAATGACTCAGCTACTCCAGCAGCCTCACGACTCTTGTTGGTTCTTTGGCAAAGGAACCGATATACCATACCCATTATGATACTGCTTGCAAGACAAGCTGTAATGAATGTCCATCCAGTCGTATACCGCGGCGATTCCGACTGGAGAAACGTGAGAGGACCGGCAAAGTTTCCTGTCGCGATTCTTTTAGCTAAATGATCGATTGGGGACGTGGACCAGAGGGTCTATAGTTGCTCACTTACCGACGCAGTAGCCAACAAATAATCCAGCGGACACTGTTGAGCGCTTAGTATATCCTGCGACATTGGCAATGGACAGGTTCATCAATACGGCATAAGCTGCCGGATGGAACGCCAGTAGATACAAGCACGTCAACTTGAACCCATTTGCCATCCGGGGAACGTTCCAAATCAAAACACACGACAGGAGTAAAATGGATGAGCTGAAGGTGTAGGACCAGATCCTTAGATTGTACCGGGAAAAGACTGTTGCCATCCACGATAGCGCAAGCGTGACAACTACTCCAGCCGCTCCAGTTGGCATTGTAAGCAGTAAGGAGTTCAAACCTGTGTATCCCATAGAGACATTGATGATAAGAGGCGTGAAAGTTGAGGTAACCGCGTTAACTGTATTAACAGTCGCAGACATGAAGAAAAGTAACCAGAAAAGTGGACTTCTCAGGGCTTCAAAAACCTGCTCTCTCTTGAAATGAGTGTTCCTCACTCCAGAGTTGTTTACACGTAGTCGTGATACAGCGATGAACTTTTCTCGGTCACTGAGGTGTTTGGCAGTGATTGGATCAGGGTCCATGCAGAAGAGGATCACAAAAGCCCATGCAATTGTGATACAGCCTGCAAAGATAAACATGTATCTCCAAGGAGACAGTGAACCCTTGATGTGGCCAAGTCCAAAGTTGATAAGCGGCGCCGGGATAGCCATCATCGGAGCTGCAGCAAACCACACTCTACAATGCTATCGTCAGACAGAAAGGAGATAGTAGGGAACGCGTCCTGGACTCACCCCATGCGAAAGGTTTGCTCTACCTTTGTATACCATCCACCGACGACCATCATCCAGACTGGCGAAATACCAGACTCAAGCAGGCCAAGGAAGAATCTCTGAACATAAAGCTCGCGGAAGCTGTTACACCAACCGCCAGCGAGCACGCAGACTCCCCAAAGGAGAACCATGGTAAAGGCCACGATGTGAATTGGGAATTTCTGGGCAAGGAATGTAGCTGGATATGCATCGACAATGTAGCCAAGATAAAAGATCGAAGATGCCATAGAAAATCTATTGCCGACTGTGAGCTCGAGGTCGGTTCTCATACCGAAGATGGCCTGTCGTGATAGACGTCAGATCTGAACGCATACTGGGCAGGATTTGCAAGACACTTACAGCATGGGAAAACAGAAACTTGTCGTAGAACTGGATTGCAAAGGTCAAGACGAGAATGACTAGAAGTCTTCTATCGATCTTTCTGACCAACTTGGCTTCTTCGTCTAGTGGCCAAGTGGAATCTCCTTCATAATTAAGCAAAACTTTGAGAGCCTCATCTTGATGGACAGTATCGATTTTGTCCAGCTTCTTGCTCCCAGTGATGGTGGAAGAAACACGTTCGATATGATCCTGAGTTACGTTTTCTTTCGGGGAGGTCATGGTGAATATAAAGTCGTAAAGATGATCTGTAAGTAGGGATGGTTGGGTAACACATCAATGAGGGCAGTATGCTTGCTGAATATATACTGGAAGATATCTCTGGTCCATGGTATGGGACTCTTTTTTCGGACTTCATGTGGGAACTAATAACTTTCGAAATCCGGGGTGGTCTGGGGAAATCAGGATTCAAGAGCGATGGCTTGAACTAGCCCGTGTTCTTTCAAGCCACGATATGTGAGTGTGGACGAGAGCCAAGGGCCCAGACTTTGCCAAGCCGCTACACAGGTCAGCATGGCTGTCTGACTTTTATCACATCGTTTGCCTGCTGCTCGTATTCTAACTCTGTATCTAAACTTGTAAGGTATCTATCTATTAATCTTATATCCTGCAAGAATTACACCAATTATATATATATATAGAGTAATATTTAATAGAATGTGAATTTAAACTAATATCTATTTATATATAAGATCAGCTGCTAAACTCTATCTGCTATAAACTGATGAGAGCTGTGGACAATCGAAAAGCGCGGATGGTCTTTAGACATAGATGATTCAAAATCATGTCCTTCCCCGTCTGCAATCAGTAGCTCCGTATCCACTCCAAGAGATACCAAGGACTCATGTGCCTTTTGAGAGAACTTTGGAAGGCACATCTTGTCCTCACTACCATGAACAAAACAGGTTGGTGGAAATTTAGCTGAAAACAGCTCCACGGGATCAACCCGCTCGTAATCACCGTCTTGCACGACATTTCGGAACAAAGTTCCGTCTCGCAGGTTACTCAAAAGATAGGCAGTTCGAGGCATGGAGAAGTCTGGTACAGGTTTTGGACTGTCCGGTACCTTCTTGAATGCTGAAGGAGTGGCTGTGACGATGCCTTCGCTATGGACCTGGTCAAGGAAAGATTGTGGGAACCGCGGAATCTGAGAGAATACTTCCATCGGCGAGTGCCAGAATGGGTCTTTGAGATACATTGCGGGAAAGTAAGACACGATAGCCTTTGGTGGAGGTGTAGCTGATGCCTAAAGGTGGGTTCAGTCAGCACCTATCTGTTGCAAGGCGTTCCGGGGCGAGCCAGGGGCTCATAGCAGACTGAATGGAAACTCACCAGGTGTAAAGCTAGGGTGCCACCCGCAGATGAACCAATGACTGCGACCCTGCCACCATCTACTGCTACTCCAGCATCTCGAGATAACAGGGCGGGAAGCTCTTTGCATGTCCATGAGAAAGAAGCATGAATATCCGCGACAGGCCCTTGAAAGACAGAAACGGTTGGGCAATGGCGATAGTCTGGCACTACAACAGTGAAGCCGAAGTCGTGAACAAGCGACTCAAGCCGGGCTTTGGATACTGCTGCTTTTGACCCATTGACAAAGCCACCACCATAAATTACAAGAACTAAAGAGAACCATGATCAGCTATCTGTAGTAGACTCAAAGCCAAACCTGCATTTTAATGAACCTACTTACCAATAGGTCCAGCCTCTCTCACCGCATCATCTGTCACCGATTTGTAGTAAACATCCGCCTTCAGCGGAACGCCCCCATCGACTGTATTGTAGACATACTCGGTGACATCCATTTTTAACCAGAAGATAGTTTCGGCAGGAAATGATTTGCGATATAGCCTCTTGATTCAATTCTTCGGAATTTCTCTAGAAGAGCCTCAATCAAATACTGTCATGAGGGCCTTGGGTCGGAAACTCCATGAACTGGAATGTCGGGTTCGGAGGTGGAGGTGGAGGTGGAG